TTTGAAAAGAAAACGATTGCATCATTTCTCTTTCTATACATTGAATTCCATTGGCTTCCATTCTTTCAGCATGAAGATCGTGGATTTGATGTTTCTCCATGAAGTAGTTTTTTGCCAGCTCTGTACTGTTTACATGAAAACTTTTTTCCCTGTCTCAGCTGGCTGGGCCAAAAAATGTAAGCGTTTAAACAAAAGAAAATAAAAAACATTTTTCACTGGATAGAGTTGGGAGAGGGAGTTTCAGTGTAACCCTTTGCTTCTCTCTAAATTGAATAATTAAAAAGCGAGTTTGTCTTCTTAAAAGTTGCATCAAAATATAATGTTTTACTGTTTTAAACCAGGTGTCCTCTGCTTTACCTTTTGTTCTCTGGAGATATACCATTTTGTTGTATTGACTCACTTATTTGTTGCTTAACACTGGATTTTTTTGAGTCCTTCAAAGTCCTTCAAAGCTAATACCTGCACTGGACTGTTGTCTTTATTTTACCATTAACTGTGATGATCTTTAGGGTAAGGAATTGACTATGTCAGGAATTCATGATGACTACCTTGCAAAGGTTATTTATAACCAGACTGAACACTAGTATGGGCTCCAAAAGAGGTGAGCGTGGTTGCTTAACTGTTTAGTTTTGGGTTTAATGCTATTCATCCTTACTGAGTTGAAATTCATCTTATACATATTACTGACACACATAGCTTTTTGTATTTTTTTTAAATTCTGTAGAATTCTTCGGAGTAGGGAAAATCTTAGGAGGCATCATTTAAAGATGTAATAATTCCCTTATCCTGAGCCTCCTTCCTGAATTTACACTTTGTTTACTAATTTGAATCTTTGCTTCATTAAGCCCATTTCTAAAAGAGCAGAACTCTGCATGAGATCCAGACTTAGTGTTACACCTGTGTGCATTTCTGTTACTCACATTTCATCCAGATGCTTCCTTCATGCTAGGGAAATACAAAGGAATCTATTGTTGAGAGACTTTGTAGGCTCCATATGCGCTAATAAAGGTTTTGAGAGGTTTGGAAAATATAATGCAGTGTTTGGGGTTTAAGATTCAGGAATCTGAATTGCATTAAAACACTTCCTAGCCATACTTGTTTAAGTTTCTTTTCATAACTTCTGATGCTGGTAGTCCACAAGAATAATTCCTGCTGTTCAGCTGGAGTGGGATTTTAAGATTAATTTAGGACAAAGATGAGTATGGGGAGAGAGAAATTACAGTAATATTTATTTTACTGCCTTTTTAAAATGGATTTAGCACAATTTCCACTGAGATACAAGCTATTTACAAAACAGTTGCTAAATAAATCTCCCAGTGAGACATGGATGAAACTCTATAGTGCTAATGTTTCCATTCACATCAATGAGATGTATGGTGTGCTGGCCATCTGTTATATAAACCTGAATAGGATCCGAAATCCTTACACCAAAGACCAGATTTTTTTATGCCATTGCTTTTATGGAGGTGTGCCATAAAAGTGGCCATGTGCTGGCAACCTGTGCAACTGGACCCCTTTAAATCTGTGTAAAAGTGATGACATTTCAAGCACCTCAGCATCTCTTAAAATTAAAACAACTAATTGCATTAAAGTCTGTGTGTTGAAGAGATTATACTCTTGCTTAGAGTTTGTTTTTCCCCCCTTCCCATCTGCAATATCCCTGATGGGGTCCACAGCTGTGAGAGCAACAGTGTGCACGACAGACTGCCTCACAATTGGCAAGCCAACTGGAAGGAACACCGAGACCCACAAGGATTGCTGGACCCGGAGGGCTTTCAGCTTGTGAGAACAATGAGCTAATTAAAGTCTAAATAAACGGAATGTCCTTCTAGCTGAAGTAAAGATAAATAAATAAATGCCTTCGTGTTGCTCCAGAGGACTGAATAAAACAAAAAATATTTGTGTCGTGTTTACCTAGTAACGTCTCTTTAATTGTGAAAGGGGGTCCGTCAGCAGACTTGGTGAATATATGCAAATGTACAGTTCCTGATTTCTTTTTAATCTGTTGTTTTAATAGGAGGGGTTCAGCAAAGGTGATGAAAAGTGTTTTCTTCATATTTTTCAATTTGTTTAAACATTTTAAAGTTTAAATTTTTAAAAATCTCAGTATGTATTTTTAGCAAATGTCTTCTTAGCTACTGCTTCCTTGTCACTGGTGAGCTCTGCTTCTCATGCTGGTGCTTCACATGCAGATCTCACTAAAGGGGCTGTATGCTTTGTTTGCAGACCTATGGTACAGTATATGCTACTAATGCATCGCTTTGGTTCTTCTTCAGTTATGAGTATCATCTTAGTCTTCCCATCCTTATGTCGTGTCAATAAGAAAAGAAATAGGGGCACTTAAAAAATTGATCTCATACTGATGTTTTATTTCATTTAAATTTTCTATGGGCCACTTTTTTTTCAGTTTGGCTGAAAAAAGGCTAAATACATATTTGGGGAGCTGCACCTCAGACATATACTTAGGAGTGAATTTAATTTCAGTAGTGTGTAGGCTATTAAGACTATTTGTATTTAAAGTGAAGCACTTGCTGAAGTGCTTTGCTGAAATGGGCCGTCCTAGGAGTCTAATTTTGGAAGGACTGAGCAATCGCAGTTCTCAGCTAAACCCGTCTTGAGGGTCCATGAGAAATTACGTTCCCAAACAGAAATTTGAGTCTTTCTAGGCACGCATTCTGAGAAGATATGGCCGAGTTAGGTCTCGATTTTCACATCTCCCATTGTCACAAATGAGAAGAATGGGTGCGAGACTCCGTAAAGAGACCATCAGACTGCTAATGAAAGCTGCAGCAGTGTGTAGTTGGCAGTCTCGACATAACATCTGCTGAAAAGTGTAATCTCACTATTTAAAATGCAAAAAAACTGAATAAGGTAGTTATTTGTTAATCTGTTGAAAATCTAACACTAACCTTTTTGTGTTGTACCCCTTAAATGTTGTAAAGATTCATTCCTGATTGTATATGTAACAAATATTAAACATATTTAAATTGTAATTCCTTTAAGAAAATACTGTGGAGTGGGAAAAAAAGTAAGAAATTGGATGCCTGGTCTAGGAAAACAAACAGACGCAGCAGAATGAGTAGAGAAAACATGTTTTTCTGCTTATTTTACAAGCAGGAGTGTAAAGGAAACAATTCTCATTACATGTGTATAAAAATAGGCTTTGAGAGTGACTTCTCCAGGCACGAGAACTCCTAGCATTTTCCCATTACCTTGATCCTCATCTGCTCATTTGTTCAAAAATGAACCAGAGGTAAGTTTTTACTGAGCCGTCCTGCACAGTTTAGCACAGGAACAGCACATACATAAACACATCCTAATCATGAAACAAGGGCAGCAGTGTTTTAGCAAACTGCATAAAATCAGTCAGTGCTCACTTCTGTTGTCAAGAGGCAGCAAAAGTAGTCCAAAAACTGATTAATGCAATTTTTAATTCTGGTCAAAGCTCAGAAGAAATGCTTGGATGGATGAAAAGAATGAGCTGGGGTTGATTAAAAGAAAAAAAAAGGCAAAGAATCTCTCGATAGACAGGATGTGCAAGCTCTCAGGATTATTTAGTGAAAAATAGGCCAAGTTCAGCCTTTGTCTAAATCATCTGACCTCAATCTATTGTGGGAGAAATTAAAAGTTAGTCTGTTCAAATGAACTCAACATACTGGCCAGCTTTTAACTATGCTGACTGCCTTCTCTCTGACTCCGTACTCTGTAAAAATCCCCACTGCTGTATCGTTAGTTATTCTTGCTCCAGTCGTCAGCTGTGCTCTGCAGTGGCAGAGGAGAGAGATCATTCCAAAGAAGCTGCATTAAATTTGTATGGTGGATTGGCACCCTCATTGTGGGCATCTAGATACCTTGCAACACAGATAAGGAACTGACAGCGTTAGTTACGTGCAGTACAGCCTGCAATTTATGTAATATGTAGATTGAAGGAGGTAATTAAATACTGCAGCACTTTGTAACCTTTCAGCATGCGAACTATGTGAACCTGAGAAAGTTTTAGGTTTGGAAATCCTCTGAATACTTCTCACTTATGTTGCAACACGAGGACCTGAGGAAATGCTCAGTTTTGCTGTAAGTTCCTGAAGATATGTTTGTATCACCGTTACGCAGCACAGGATAAAAGTTTTGGGTGAATCCGCTCCCTCTCATGTGTATGTGTAGTTTCATCCCTCTAGATGCATGATGAAGCAGTCTTCCTAAAGTATATGCCTAGAGTCCATATGTAACTGATAGACATTGATAGGTGCTTTGGAAGGCTTCCCTAGTGAGATCCTGTCTGCTATACTGCCGGCATCCAAGCTGGGTGGCTACGAGTCTCCTTCTAGAGACTGTAGAGTTACCATCCTCCCTGCATTAACTGTATAGGCAAACATAGTCACTTGCTGTACAAGTACTTAAATCGGAGGTACAGACCCATGCCTCAAGTGAGCTATACTCAATCAAATGTTTTTCCAAAAAAGCAAATGTTATTCACCCTGACATTTTCTTTTCTCCATACATTACCATAATGATTTCTCCCTTCTAGAACACAACTGGGGAGGATTTCACCAGAGAGAGGTTTGCAAAAGTGAGGAATTCTGCCCGTAACAAAGCCAACTTCAGTCAAAACAGACGTTCGTGCTTCTAGTGCCTGCTGGGTTAACGGTGTTGCTGAGAAAACTGTCTCCTGCCTGCAGAGGGCATACAGCTCCTCAGTTTTCCCTGCCAAAATGTGTGTGGAATAGGGAGAAACTAATGGACCGTACATAACAGCATTGCTGCACATTGCTGCACATGATGGATCAGGGATATCTCACTTTACACGGGGGTATCAAAAGTGTAATTTCAGTGGAAAAATTGGACTCTTCCCAAGCATCCACATATCCCTCCACCAAAGTAAATTGATACTTTACACAGGGAACACTGAAGGCTCTCTGGGATGTGTGTCCAGCAGGAACATGCTGTGGGTACTCATGCTCCTTAAAAATCATCTGTTTTCATTTGTGTCTCTCCATTTCCAGAGCTCCCAACACAGTGGCTCCTCTACCTCATTAGCATCCACCAAAGTTTGCAGCTCTATGGATGAAAATGATGGACCTGCAGAAGGTAACATTTGAAGGCTGACATTTCAAAGCAGTCAATGTAGTGATAACAGCAGCTGTGTAGGAAATGAGTCATTCTTCCTGCCGGAGAAGGTGGGAGCATTGCGGGCTGGATGACTCCCCGTGAGGAGGCTCGTCAGTCTTAACAAACCAGTTAGGTTCACTCCGGATCAGATTTGATCTGGACATCCTTATTGAGAGGTGTTTTTGTTGCAGGATACTCCAGATACTAGTTCTGCAGGTGACACAGTGCTGGCTGCATATTAATTCACTAATTTTTTGTCTTGTCTGGCGTGGTACTAAAGAACATGCTGCAATCCTGGGTCTTTACTCGGAAATGATTAGTCTTACCCTGTACGAAGGCTTTGAGCAAGTTGGCTAAGGGATAGTGTCTGCTCCAGTACTACTGGTTCACATGCACAAATACGTAAATGTGTGTGTATGCTCGCATCTGACCGTAACTCTTCATGCTGCCTGTGAATTCAGGCAAACCCCAGCCTCCTTGTATCATAACATTCATTTTTAATACTAGACTGGAACAAAGGACAGATAAAGATAGAGTTAAAAGTGCTGTCTTAAAGAGTGTAAATTCAAGTCACATTTTTGAGAGGCATTTTTTTTTACATTACGATATTTATAAAGTAGTTTGTATCAGCTGCAGTTTACAGTCAGCTTTTAGAGGCATGTTAGGTATTTGTAACACGCTATTTCAAATACATTTAAAAATAATGGTACATGAATGAGTATTAAAACACATGAAACTACAAACTTTTCTTCTGCTTAGACACTGTGTAATGCAATTTTACCTAAACATCTGGTGCCCAGGTTGCATGCGAGGTAGTATTATTGAAAACATTTGTTTAAAAACTAAATATTTAATATTGGGGGAGGGGGAGAACTAGCACTTAGCACATGAGGAGTTTTATGGATGTCTCAGTTTACAGGATGTAATAAAATAAGTGCTTGAGTGTTGGACTTCTTTGGTACATATATTTAATCATGCTGTGTCAAGGAGTTCCAACCCTTTTGGAGGCTGGTCTGTGCTTGTGCAGATCACAGAGGCCTTTTCATAATTAAAAAAATACAATTTTGGTTTTGTCCTGGGGGCATATTGCAATGGGAATGGTAAACTATGTAACACTCGAATAGTGGTATGTTTGAGCCCCAGAAGTCTTATTTTTCATTATTGTATCTGTGTGAAACCTGTTGAGTATATACAATGTCAGCAGCATGGTTTCACTGTACAGTAAGTGAGATACTGACTCTGAATGGTTTCCAGGCTCCTAAACCATAGACTTAAGATGCATGTTATGTGCAACATCTGTGTTTCCTTCACTAACAATAAAAATGTACTAATGATTCTTTCAGAAGTGTTGGAGGAAGGTTTCCAGGTTCCCGCATCGATAGCAGAGCGATATAAAGTTGGAAGGACTATAGGAGATGGAAATTTTGCTATTGTGAAGGAGTGTATAGAAAGGTGAGGAGGATAATATACTTATTACTGTAAAAATAATCATTAATGTCATGCTTTTTCTAGATCATGTCTTTTTTGTAGAATATAGGGCATATAAGAATGTAATGTCTCAATGCCAGATAGAAAAACTAGACTAATGCCCTCTCATATGAAAAAAAGAGTAAGTCCAAGGGACAATCTATGAATTTAATTCTTTGTAGGTTTTATATGCTTTTTTCCTGTGGCACTCTGCATGATTTTACCAGTTCTTTTTGTTAAATCTTTCTTGTTGCACTGAAATATCATCTTTTCTTACAGTATATTCCTGCAACTCTCCCTTTACGTTAGACTGATGAAACATTTCACATGTAGGAGCATTCTGTAAAGCTGTCAGGAAGTTTTGTGTATGTGGTGTAGTGGTGGTGGTCAGCACAAGGAGCTGACTTTGGATCCATCTATTCTGCCATCTGACACTGAGGAGTAACCTCTTCCATGTTTATCTTTAATTAAATGGGCATCTATCTCCTGCTTGCCTGCTTTATGCCATTGTATGAGCTCCATCCAACTTCAGGAGCCTGCACTGCAGACATCAAAATCCAACTTCTTCTGTGCCCTTTACTGCTAAGAGGTGAGAACAGTCACCCTTAAAGACTGATTGTAGACATCCACTCCAGGTTAGAGAAGCCACAAGTCACCTCAAATGTCGGTGTTGCTGCAAGTGTCCAGGTTGACTAGCTCAGGTGTCGGTTTCTAAATCTGGTCAGGCAGGTCATGAACCAGGTTTGAACTGGCTTTACCCAATGTTAAGAGTGTAAAAAATAGGAAACAAAGACAGAAATGCTCTGAGCAGAACTGCAGGTGCCTTTTGGTGGTATTGTTAAAAATAGGAGAATATGGGGTAAAAAAGACAGAAGGTACCTGTATGTGAAATGATTGTAAGATTGCTCATGTTAGATAGTAGCAGTTCAGAGAAATCAAAAAACTGCCAGAGCTAGAGATGTCCAAAAGAAAGAACAACAGAGATGTCAAGGTCTGATAACGAAATTCCATGAGCAAAGTTTTATATCCCCTATTACCATATCCTAGAGAGGGGACTCTTGCAGAAGACTGTAATCTCACCTTTGGGCTCAAAGAACTTTTGCTCTTTAGCCTGTAAGAATGTGATATTAACCCTAGAGAGTAAGTCAAGATTAGATCTCATGGCAGATGATGATAAATTAGCTTGGCTGGTTTTAAACTAGAGTCTCTTTGGAAAAAGGCAGGTCCCGCTCTGCAACTGAAAGAGTCTGGCAGGTTGGAGACCATGAAGACAGCTGTGGGGGAAAGGGGGAAGAGTGGATTTTGTATCAACTGACAGTGTGCTTGTGGGACTTGGCCAAAGCTCTTGTGAGGCCTTTAGAGCTCTGTCAGAGCGAGTTCATGGTGGAGCTGGTCATCCGAAAGGCGATAGCTGTTCAGATCAAACCCCAGGGTCTGAACACTAAACTGGGGAATATGGAAACCTAAAGGAAGCAAAGCAAAACAATATGAAAACAGGAAAGCACTGTAAAACCCTATGGAGGGGGCATGACTGATGAAAAACATGGGTGAAAACATATAATTAAGACAAGAGAAAAAGGCAAACTAAATGTAAAGTGAGTAGTGACTGAGAGAAACAGGTTACAAGGCAAAATAAAAAAGGTTGAGGTTTTGATACACTGTCATTCAGCTGAAAATGCCAGTTGTGCTGAGAGACAGTTCAAATGTGCTAGTGTGCATTTTACAACTTTCTCAAGCTGAGAAAAAAGACATGAACAAAATTAAATATAGGTCCCACCACACCTAAAAATAATACTGATTACAGTATCCTTGAGAGCTTAAATGAAAACTGTTTCCTGTCCTCTTGTCTGTCCTCCTGGTCCCAGAAGTATCCGATAACACGATGTGTCTAGTGAATAGCACAATTACTCAGGTATTCCCAGATACATACTTTTATGGTCTCTGAGCTGTACCATTCCATAGATTCCATTTCTATCAGAGAGTTACTACTTTGGGAGAGCTAGAAAATTAAAATTATTTCTGTTAGTTTCCACTTCTAAAGGAGTATACCCTTGCCATCACAAGTGTGGAAGGAGAAATTAAAGGCTCAGAGGTAAATTAAAGCCAGTACATGTAAAACCCCTTCAAAAACATTCTTCACAGTCTTTCTAAGCAGAAAACACCTCACTTCAAAGTCTGATATGTCCATCATTTGCAGAGCCAGAATTGATGGGGTGATACTTGGGACAGAGGACTTTTCCACTTTCTTCTGACGTACAATTCTCGTGTGCATTAGACTTCAAAGAAATAGCACCATGAGGTGTTAAGCAAGTAGGAATGCATCTTGTTATACATCTTCACTGATCACATGGATACTTCTTTTCCATACCTGTGGAGACCAGCCTGTGTGCACTGGGTAGCCACTCTGACACTTCAGATGCGTTCACAGGCATTTTCCTCTGACAGCAAACAATCTAAACAGAAACCAAAAACCATCTTCAAAATTTTCACATGGGGACTTCTAAATCCCATTCTGTGCGTCTGTGAATGCACACACATGCACGCGCGCACACACACACACACAAACATTTAATGCACACACAAAAATAATGAAGATAGATTTTTGTCTCCAGTGCAATGGAAATCTCCGTGAACTTTGCAAAAGGTTAAAACAGCCAGGGAGCATGGCACGGAGCCCTGTTATGAACTAGAGGTCTAACTCCGTGCCCTGCATTAGTGCTGTGGGTCCAGACTTTTATCCAGCCATAACGTGTTTCCTACTTCGTGTGGCACCTTTTTATTGTTTGGATTGAATGATAGGTGAGAGGTGATATGCCCATTTCACTGTGAGTTTCTGGCATGGCTGTGCATATTTTTTGGCGGGCGTGTAAGTTGCAGTGCTGCTGACAGCCTGCGGTTGTGCAGCTTTTTAGGGGAAAGGATTTGCATTATCTTAGCTTTAATTTTCTTTTTACCAAAACAAAGAGCAGTCAGAGTTGTCATCTGCTCGTTACATATCTGCTCCATCGTATGCGCAATTTGTCCTGTGGTGTTTTTATATGTGTTCATTTTTAACTTTCAGATACTTCCAAATTCTGACATTTCCTCACTAGCTCAGATTTCCTAGTGTTTTGGAGTACATGGAGTCTCCCATGGCCAACAAAAACCATCAATTTCCTTTCTCATGACAGAAAGGAAGCATTCCTAGGGCAACCAAGCAGCTTGAAAGAGATTCCTATTGAAAGAGGGCATATTTTGTCTGAGTTTGAATCCCAGATATCTTAATTTCTAGTATTCCTTCTCCTACCTCCTCCTTCCGTTCCCCAAATATAGTATCCGTATCTCTGCCTGTCCCCTCACTGAGCTGGGACTGTAACCACCAAACAGCAGTACCGGGAAGGGGCACCCCACATGGAGTGCAGCCCATTTCTGGGGGCTGTAGCATTAAACCCCTTTGTGGGGGAGTACAGATATGAGTTTTTAATATTTCTTTGCTTAAGTCTTGAACAGCCATGCTGTGCTTTTTTCCCAAGTCATAAACGTCATCATCCAGTGTCATTTCTTTGCACAGTCTTTTAACTGATATCTTAATACAGACTGTCTTTGCTCCCTGCTGACCTGGGAGCTCAAACAGAATTAATATTTGGCGGTTTTTTTTTCTTTTTACTGAAGTCCCCATTTTCCCTTAAATTAATACCTAGTGGTACGTCATTGCCAGAGGAGGTCTCCATGCTTAAATATGGCAATGAGAATGCCCAGTGGTTTTCCTAATGCAGTGCTTTCAGTTTATGACTCACTTTGCATGTCCTGCTTCACAGACTGTGTACACTTTTAGGCATGTTCATTTCTCTATTATAACTTATTATATATCAATTAAATGTATCAGTTTAACCATGTTTTGCTAAATGAAGAATGAGAAAAAATCACCCCATATGCTTGAGAGGTTATTTTTTTCTTTATTTTTTTAAGCAAACATATGCCTAAGGGCAATGTATTAGACTTTTTAAAACTCTTTAGATTTTTATTACAAAATGAAAGTGTTTCAGTAAAAGCTTTTTCTTATATTATCCATTCTTCATTTGACCTTATAGTGAAACTAGAGCTTGTGAACAGAGCTTCTTGGTATCCTTACAGCCACCTTTTGGTTTTGTAACTTGGTTAAGAAATAGAAGTTCATATTGTGAACTTTTTTACAAGCTGTTTTCTATATTAGCATTCTATATAATACATATCTATGTATGCGGTAATGATAGATATTATATGGTTTCAAAAAAAAAACAAAACTAAAAGGAAATGTGTTCTCATACTGAACTAAGTCACTATAATTTCTTACTGTCTCCAGAACCTTTCATATTCTGTCCCATAAATATCATATTTAACTCTGCTAGGTATCATGTACTTACTGAATACATAAAACATTATTCCAAGGACTGACTTTTTTATCTTAGTAGTTGTGAGATAAAACAAATGACTCTTCATTTTATGTAAAAAAAAGGTATTTTCCATGGCTGGTATGTTTTTGTTTAATAGAAAACAAAATTTTTTGGTTTTGAGGAGATTTGGATCTGTAAATACTATATAATATTTTTACATAAAACTGCAGAAGAAATAACAAATACTACTACAAAATGAAAAAATCAAGTGGTTTTGTTTCAAAAACATTGAAATGTCTTCATTTTTTTAAAAAAAATGCTTAATGCTTTTTTCTTGGGCACACGTATTCAATAAATTTGGCTCAGGTTCACAATTCCAGACAGATCCAGGCTTCATTTCTTGACAAAACAAATACTTGAATAGAATTCTTGCCCAGACCTACCGTGCTCAAATGACAAATATAAACTTGACTGAGAAAAATATTGAATATGATTGAATGTACAATTTTTTTCTTTTCTCTTTCCTCAGATCAACTGGTAGAGAATATGCTCTGAAAATAATCAAAAAAAGTAAATGTAGAGGAAAAGTAAGTACAAAAAAATCAAGTGAGACCAAAAGATTTTTTTTTCAAGAAACATTTTGTGAGAGAGCACTTTGGGAAGCTGTTGGTATTTGCCTTCTTCCTGGCAAGTGTTATCTTTTTGGCTGAAGCTTTTGCCTGCCATCTGGAGACCCTTGGAGTATCCATATAAAAGGCTGCAATGTGCCTTTCTAGATGCATGTGTTGATTCTCCAGTTGGTTGGTTGTGGGTGGGTACGCTCACTCCCCTTGCTCTTTACCCCTGTAATTATGTCTTCTAGCTTTCATAATCCCAGATGTTATAGAAAACAGAAAAAAAAATACTGATAATTATAACAACACCGGTCACTATGTCTACACAGTATGTGAGGCTAATCAAATTGATGTCAGTTTTATAGTAAGTGAATTTCTGTTAGCTTTTGAAATCTATAACAAAAGGTTCTCTGAGAAGATGCTATCAAATTTTTAAATGGAAATATTCTGCATTGGAGAAAGAATTATAGAAGCTACCATATTTAACTTTTCTCTGCATCACAAACATGTCTTTTTCTCCATTTCTTTTTCTGTATTCTACTCTCTGTTCTTCTTTCAGTTATCACACTGATGTTTTTTCTAGATATGTTCCTTCCATATTGCTGGAGGCAACATCTCTTACCTTTTTAAAAAATCCTGAAGAATCCATGCAGGTCCCAATTCTCTCTGCATTTTCCACTGTACAATGGAGGTGAAAGTTTTTCCCACCAACCCGTAGTTATTAAAGATTTCTTTTCTGTGGCAGGAACACATGATCCAGAACGAGGTATCTATTTTAAGACGAGTGAAGCATCCCAATATTGTACTTCTGATTGAGGAGATGGACATGCCAACTGAGTTGTATCTTGTCATGGAACTTGTAAAGGTGAGTATTTTGGAGACAAGCTGCTTATTAAGAATTGTTTCAACCATATTGAGAAATTTCATTGGTACTAAAGCTTACTAAAAATCATGGAATCACAGAATAATTTGGAATGGAAGGGGTCTCTGAAGATAGTCTTGTCGAGCACCCTACTGAAAGATGTGTAACCCAGTGTCAGATTTTTTTTTGTAGCTTTGAAATATTTCAAATATTTGTCTAAATTTCTATAAGCCACATTCAGAAGTGCTCTGTGGACAGTACTTTGGAGATCACCAGTTTCATTTGCTCCCCCAAAAGAAGTCTTTTAAAAAGTTTTATCTTAAAGAAATGCATCTGCCTTGAGGTGAATTGAAAATACACCCAGTCTGAATAGCTGTAAATACCAGCCTTCAAAATTCAATATTCCTTGATAAAATAGAGTTTAATTAAATTTTATTTATTTATGTTAAATTTAAACCTGTCTTTTTTCTCTACTGATTTATATTAACACATTGTCAGGCTTGCCTCCTCAATAATAATCTAAATTTAAGCTGGAGGAGAGGGGAATTGAAAGAGAAAAAACTGCTATTTAAAGCATGATTCTATTCTGAAAAGTAAGTTTGAGAATGCAGTATTTTATATTTGGGACCGTATTTATTTCTTCATGGTAACTTCCAGATCTCATGCATTTATTTCACTCACTGGTGGAATTATATATTCAAACTGGATTATGAAACTTAGACCAGGTCATCCCTTGCCCCAATACTGTCAACAGTGCAGTGCAAAAAGTATGAATTTAGATCTCGGTTCTGGTACTAATACAAAAGTATGCCACTGTGCATAAAAGGTGGTAAAAATACATTTGTGTAAATTGCACAAATTAGGACAGAAAACCACTGAGAACATCTTGTCCTCTGTACTTACATTAACAAAATGCACCTGTTTTTCACATTCACTAACAGGATTAGCGATTCTCTTTCCTTTCTCAGCTATTCTGTGGGAAGGAAATCTTTCCAGCAGCCACCTCCATTTCTGTATCATCTTGATCAGCACATTCTCCTGGGGCAGCCTATCATGCCTACGCCTGGGAAATCCACAGTTTTAAGTGTTTAAGGACAAAGATTACAATAAAGCTGTGCAGCAGCAGCATTTGTGTGCAGACCTGTTGTATGTGCACGCTCAACACTTGTGAGCATGTCTGGCAGTCTGAACCCTGGCAGCCAGATCGTTTCCACTTACCTTAAATTAAGTGTGGTCACCTTCGGTAGACATCCTCTGTGTCTGTGGTTATAAACAGGCACCACCAGAGGTCGTAAGAGAAAGCAATTTTGGCAAGCAGGATTGTTATCATCTGCTTTGCTCTGGTTGTAGGTGGAGATTAGGGGATGCTTTTAATGTAGGCACCTCATTGAGATGTTAGATAGGATGATCCCAGGTCCAAGTGTTTCTTAAAGAACTTCTCAGTCTCTGGGCTGGAATACAAGAGCAAGGAGAATGAAAAGTTTTTTGTTTTGTTCCATTATTCCCCGTGCTCTGTGACAGCAGCGGTGACAGAAGCCGTATTCCCAGTGCAGAGCTGGGAGGCTGTCAAGTGTGGCCTGTGGGTGGATGGCCACAGATTTTCCCTGTCCTTGTGGCAGGTTGGGACAACCTTGTTATCCATAAGAAGCTCAGGCCATGCCCCACAGCTTAGGAGATGGCAACATTGTCCTCTTAGGTTTGAGCTTGCCAGATGCCTTACTTGGCTTGAGTGGTGCTATGGAGTTTATGGTCCCACTAACCCTACTGTCCACCACCTCCAAGCTCTGAGGAAGCACACTGGGACATGCTGGTGGCAAGGAGCTGGCAGGGTACCCAGCATCCCCATTTTGTCTCTGATGAAGAGGTTAAATTCTAAGAAAAAAGCAAAATACTTGCACTCTTCCATGCCGTGAATCCCTCTGTGTAACCAGTCCCAGAAGAATTTCCCCATCTTCTTCATAGTCACAGCCCCTTCTCACACTCAGGAGTGCAATATGAAATTTGCAGTGCAATACAAAATTTGCAGGAGTGCAATATGAAATTTGCAATATGAAATTTGCAGCTTCAGATCGGATGCCATTAGCCATCTAACACTATTTTAATCATAATTACTGCTCTTTTCTGTGATAAGTGAGCTCATTCTGAGATCCATGCTACTGTAGGTTTTTCCCAGTGTCCATGAGAGCTTGTTCAAAGCTTGTTCAATACTCTTGCACAGCGTTGTAATCTAATGTAGCCACAGCTTCAGCCTGCATTGACAAATCCTTCATCTTGGCCCCGTGAGGTGTGCTAAGAAGTAAAAGCTGTGCCTTGTCTAACATGCCAAGACATAAGCACATAGCTGGGTTTATGGGTGCAACCTGCTGTGCTATTCATGCTTGAAAAATGTTCAAACTGTAGTCTCCAGTGGGTTTTTAATCAAAGTCCTACTCAGCTAAATAAGAGAGGAGGGGGCCGACAACTCTTACAAAATAACTAGCCTAAAAAATGTATATAAAGAAAACCATCCATTATATTAACTTTCTGGAAAAATCTGTTTTCTTGCACTCCTTCTTCTTTCCTCTTCAGGATTGCGGCACATACTAAGATATTTATGCTTTTAGTTATGCTATAGAAGGGCTTTATAGACATCTCTAGTTCAGATATCCTAGAGAGCACTGTTTTAATGTTCCTTACTTTTATGTGGAATAATAGAAGAAATTTAGAAGAAATATCCTGATCCTGGGAAGTTAACTTTGTTTCTTTGAAGCAAACCTCTATTCCTTAATATTTAATGGGAAAAAAAGCCTTGTTATACTCTATGGGCACCAGGGAAAGTATTTCTGGAAAGACATTAATTGTTGATTCACCAATTGCTGGCTGTTACCATTTCATAGCGTGCACTGTTAGAATTGATTAACCATCTGTTATTGACTGACTTTTGAAGACCTGACTTTAAATCAAACTCACAGACAGGAAAGAAATTCAAGGAGAAAAGGCTTGATACTGCAGAGCACGGTTTCAGTTAATACCACCCTGCATTAATTGGCAGTAACATGTTTGACATAAGTGGCTGCTGCAAATACTGCCCTCACCTCGTGGCAGATAGGCCATTCATGGCTTTGTAAAGTGTAAGAAAAAGCACTTCATAAATACAAATATAAACACATTGCAAGTGGTGCTTGTAAAAGGAAGCAAGGACCTGGTTTCTGGCACGTTGCCTTTTAACACAGCGAAACAAAATTGTTATTCAAACCTAACAGGGGTTTGGCCAATTTAACAAGCAAGATTTATTGCAGAGTTTCCTTTACTGCTCCAGGATATGATTTCACTTTTGCAGAAGAAAAGAGAGATTATATCAGTTACATAACAAGGTAATAAATAAATAATTGGTTACTGTACTTCCAAGTATACTTCCTCATGCACACAGATGATAAAAACTGCATTCAGATGTTACTGGTCCCATTTCACTCCAGAACAGGGGATTTAAGACTGAAATGTCATCCTGAACTCACCCCTTGTGCCTGAATAAATGATAGTGACCTGCTGTGTGAATCGGCTAAGCAGAACCTTGCAGGTTAAAGTGCTCTTCAGGGAAAGGGAAGTCTGAAAACAATTCTGCCTGATATAGCTGTCAGCTCTGTTAACTCTTTGCAGGATATCACCTCTCTTTTAACTGCAGAGAATCCCACAGACTAAATATATGCTCTCTTTTCTCACTAGGCTACCTGGTAAGAAACTTTACCGAGTAAAGTAGGCTGCTTTACTGGAGAAAATGATTCTGCTTCAGGTTGGCTTGACTGTCTGTTAATGTGCTCTGCAGCCTCTATATTTTTCTAAGTTTAGGTTTCTCTTGCGCATGAACATTTTTTCTTTTTCTTCTGACTTTAGGCTGAAATTTTCCCTTCTGTTTTTAAGGTTCAGCTTCTTTCCTTCTTGCCCCTCACATCTCAGCTTCGGCTGATTTCTTTGTTTGGAGGGAGATCTTTTGCTGATGTTATTGGCACTTCTCCTGAGCATCTGGAACATATTAGATAAGACCAAAGATCTGTCTAATCCACTACCTCATGTTAAAAAGCCGCTGGTACAGGGGCTTCACAGAAAGGAGCTTAGGGAAGATAGATTATTTGTCCCACATATTTTGCCACATGCTGATATCTAATACGTAGGGATCAGCTAATGCCATGAAGAACATGGTATTGTACTTCTGCCAAATATTTGGCCTTTCTCTCTAATCCTCTGTCTGGTTTAGTTTGGCCTTTTCTTCCTCCTTTTCCTTGACACTATGTATCTTGATGTATCTTGATCAGTCACCAAGAGGTTTTGATGTGGTCCAGATTTGACAATGGTTGGCTTTGGTTTCCAAAGCTGAGGTTTTGCATCTACCGTGGGAATAAACCTGCCCTGGCAGACTTCAGCTGCACCTCAACAATGCAAAATTTTTAATAGTTTGTTTGGGTTTTTTTAACAAGTAATGTCTGTTTTCTCAGGTTTGAGTCTTTGGTGGTTGTCTTCCTACCTCTTTCTCTGTAGCCATGATTCCTGGAAAAATTCTTTTTTTTGATTCTTCCCCCTCCTCCTTTCTCTTAGTGAAAACAGTGTTTACTCTGGAGCTGAGCCTTAAAAAACTCCACCAAATAACTTGAGGCTGTTGATAAAGTCATGAGTTGGCAAAGCTGGGACTCCTCTGTTGCCTTCAGAAAATACCTACTTTGTCTTTAAAATACAGTCTCCTGTGATATATTTTTTTCCTTGATGTTTTGACTGCAGCAGGGATTTTTTGCATTGTTTTTGCAGAATTATCATTTCCCTCCTCTTTTTTTTTTTTTCTGTTTGTCTGTTTCCTTCATGGTGCTGCTTTGATTTTGGCCGAAGGCCCAATACCTCTGAGTAGTATCTCTCAAAAGATGTTTGGTTTTTTCCTCCACTCTGTCAAGCTTCCTCTTTAATCTCTTCTTTAAACTTACTTTTTGGTCTTTCTCCAAGCACTTACATGTTCTTCTTCCCCCTTGCCAGCTCAACTCGGGAAATACAGTCCAAATGTCATGGCTGCCTCAGATCCCTGTGAAGATCATTGCAACTTCAAGGACTTCCACTTAATTTTCCTTCTTTTCTTTCTTCTTTCTTTCTCCTTTTCTTGTTTTTATTTCACTGGCAGTAGCTTTTAGCTGAATTAGACAGCACGATGAGCTGGAAGTGGGACAAGCTGCCATCTGTGTTTGTAGCTGTGATGAAATACTAATGTTAATTCTTAAGTGTCTTCCAGTATGATTGTCTGACATATATGCTAGGAAGTTCTTTGGTATTAGCTGCAAGAAAAGCATCACACTACCGAAAACTTCACATCATGTGTAGAGAAAGTCATTTCTAAAATCCATGTTTTCAAAGTTTTATGAGACTTTTAAAATACACCAGGACTGATGTCAGGTAGTTGGTTTGAGTTTTACTCAAAAAGTCTTCATTTTTCTGGAGTTCAGTCAGACTTGGGGCAAAAATTTGATGTCAGTCTGTTTGTGATTATAACAGAGTGGCACGGGTTGGTACGTGGCATCGTGACAGGCGAGTATGTAGGCATGCCAGAAATTTTCATCAGAGGCTCTGAACACACAGGTTGGCAAGTGCTGGACATGTTACAAAAGCAGCAGCAGGTGGGAATGGTCTGCAGTGGAGATTCTGGCCTCTTGGCTGACCAACCAAACCATGACAAATGGTTCTGAATTACTGATATGTTCAGCTGCCATTATGGGGGATGTCATCACAGTACCCAAAGTTTATAGCTGCAAGGAAACTGTACTGCTCCTCCCTCTTCCTCCTCCTCTATGAATGATGTTCCTTGATCTTCCTTAAATTTTTCAGTCATTTCACAAGCAGTGTTGCTTATATGCCATGGTCGTTTTGCTCCAGGGAGGAGATCTTTTTGATGCTATTACTTCCACCAACAAATATACAGAGCGGGATGCCAGCGGGATGCTTTACAATCTGGCCAGTGCCATCAAATATCTTCACAGTCTGAACATTGTCCACAGGGATATCAAGCCGGAGAATCTACTGGTAAGTGAAAATTCAGCTTTCAGTGTTGTTGATAACTTGGGAGTGTGTGAGAGAAGGTCTGCACTTCTCCCTCCCTCCACACACACCCCAAGTTTATTTCAGTCTTTTAAGTCATTGGTCTTTAATTTTAACCTTAGCACTGTAAAGCTCTCCTAAGAATAACAGCTATCACAAAAAGTGCAGTAACATCAGCTGGTACATCTAGATTGTTACCCAGGACACAGCAAGAGTTGTTCCAGTGATCACTGGAAGTGACCTTTCAGTGAGCTGCAGTATAATTTCAAGCTTCTCATAAATACAAAGGTCTTCTGTCCTCAGTAGACCATTCTGTACTTCTGCAGCTGCCTCAGTAATTAGCCCCAGTTCGGTTTTACAAACATGGTGGGTATAAATGTTGTGCCTTAATCATGTAGTACCTCAGGGCAGGACCAGGAAGAGACTTTAGAGTCCTTCCTTTCCCTGCTGCATCTCCCAAATAATCCCATAGCACTTTTTATTAATACACTTTACTAAATAGCCTGAATCTTCCTTTTCCTGACTGAATCTGTGTGAGCCCTGTCCACTGAAGACAATGAAAAACATACCCTGACAATTAGTCCTTCTGAGGATTTTGCACTCTGGAATGCAGCAATTGTGTTCTCCAACTGACTTAGTTTTATTTCTTCTGAGAAATTAATCTCTCCTGATTATTTCACCGTTCTCTGAGTTTTCCTGAATCTGCTGACATGTTCCAGTATCAAGATGTGCCAATTCTCCATATATTCCTCAACCATAAAACAATATTTAAGATATCTAGAATATCAGTTCTCTCAGCTATGTGCTCTCTGCCATGACTTAGTGCATTTAGTCCTGCTTGACACTGAAGAGTGTCCCATAAAACATGGGAAATTGACTCAAGTAGATCTTACTGAACTTCCAGGGAGTGGGATTTTTACAGTTGGGGTTCTTCTAGTGGCAGGTGCCTTTATAGTTCTGGGTGAGGAAGTAGCCTGCCCTTGTTTTCCAGAAACTGCTGAAAACATGTTGGGTACAAGTTTCACGAAACACTAACAATTGATACTCCTTTTGCAGCCCTTGTGCTGGTGTTCATAAGTGACTGCATGCAGAAGTTATAGGAATCACATGCCAAGGTTCATTAATGCTGTGACTTGGAGTGTGCAGGAGGGTCTTGGTCTGGGGAGAGGCTTGCCCTGCTGGTGTTTTGGCATGTATCTAAGTGCCTAAAGTCTGACAGCAGTAGAGTGAAGCTTTTGGGGGAAGAAAGAAAGGTAAGCAAGAGGTGGGAGCAACAGAGAGAGGATTAAATTTGCCTGTGACCACATTTTTTGCATTGTAGCTGAATTGTTTCTGAGTGATTTTTTCCAGTGTTGTGCATATGTAAAGGTCCTATCTTGATATTGATACTGAGCAGTGAGGGTGCAGCACTTAATCTCTTGCAGCATCCTAACTCTCAAAAGTTAGCATTTGATTCGCAAATTGTATTAATTCTCTAAGGTTTATCAGGTCCTTGAAAGAAATGAACGCTGGTTTAGAAAAGTGCTTTTGAACCAGCCTTACCTGAGTTCTGACCCTGTCTCTGACATTGGCTGTCTGGGGCCTTAGTGTGTCTTGACCTTTCTACTTTTATCTTCTTATCTGTCAAATGGGATGGGTAGTTCCTTGTATCACAATATTGCAATTAGGGTTATTTTCCTGGCATTTACAAAACACTTGCAAAATGCTATATGGGCCTTAGCCTTTCTGTTGCTAAAGACCTTCTACTTGCCTTCTGTAGCATGCCTTTTGCTTGTGGCTCTGTAACCCTTCACCTAAGTGGTCACGGCAGTTTTTTTCCCTTGTTGTTCTTGTGCTGTTGCTTTCACACCATTACTGTCACAGTCTTGCGCCAGCAAACCCCAGTAGAGTTGTTACCGCAGGTTCTCCTCGCCACCGGTGTGACAATCAGCCCTTCCTTGCCCCTCCCCACCCTGCCTTTTCCTGCCCATGGGCTGTAGCTTCAGGTTTAGGGGAGCCTATACTAACCAGGGCGGGAGGGCAGCATCTGCCCGAATCAATACATGCCCCAAGGCTAACAGCCCCATTAGCAGGAAAAAACAACAGGGAGGATGAGCGAGGCCTGACAAAAGCTATAGAGTTACTACAAGAAAAATATGGAGGGGTGAAGGGGAACATGCTGCTCTGGAGAGGGCGCCCAGAGGAGGATGCTCATCTGGAGCCTCCTTATTGCATCTCTTCCCAGCTCCTGGGAGAGCTTTCCCTTTCACCTCCCTCTTTATCTCCTTTGGTTTTTCCTTTTCCCCAAAAGTATCTTTCACTCTTAGAGCTGATGTGTGCCATCAGCTATAGACTCTGCTGATAAATCTTTGTGTGTGTGAACCTGTCTCAACGTCCTATGTGCAACACCAGTTATTTCTATAAGTGCTTAAATATTCCTTGTTATACTCAAGGCATGCAAAGCCCACCCAACAGTCAACTGTCCGGGAGTTTAGGGTATGCTGAAAACCTGTGATTTTTTAGTGTTTTTTTTGTTCTCTAGAGAGTGTCTTCCATGTTTTAATTGGAACATTTTTCATAATTGCTGCTATTTAGCACGTTTATTTTGTCAAGTCATGGGATGTCTTTATAGCCATATAATAAACCCTAGAGAACAACTTCTCTGACTGTTGCCATCTGCACTGATCACAAGAGCAGCTTAGAAAATACTGACAGTCTTTATAGTAATAGGATACATATGGTGGCACACAATTATGTGTGGCTGCATTCAATTAGTGTTGTACAATTACACAGTTTTATCGCTTAGTTAAAACAGTGAAAGCACTACATAGTAGGTAATTTGCACTAATCCCCATTTCTTTAATTGCCCTTCAGTATTTAAATGCAGTGGAACATATATAGCGTTTGTTCTGAATAACATGAGCATTAAATTATCTTTCACATTCCTTGACTGGCAAGTAACATACCACAGCTTCACATTGGGCTCCTTTTTATATGGAGTTATAACAGGGTGGGGAAAAGTTACTTTCTTCAGTTTTACAAGTCAACTGAAGTCGTTTTCCAAGGAAAGTAATTCCTGGAAACAGATGGGGCAAAATACTAGAAAATGCACAGTGCCAAACCTTCTGCATTGGTAAATATTGCCAAACAAGCCTTCTCCATAATTAATTTCCAGGATATATGAGTCATACAAGGTGTGGTCTGTTGAAGGAGGGAATTTATGAACGTTCACTAGGTTAACACAACTCAGAGAGGGCTTTGTAAAAGATAACCGCATGAAATAGAATATGAGATGCTAATTAGACTGCATTCAGCTCTTGATGTCTAAGTGCACACTTTACATTTTTCAGCAAGTGAATATTTAAAGCTCGAGTCTCTAGCCTTTAATTAAAACTGTTGTTGAAATTAGATTTATTACTGCCATTTCAGAGAGCACTTTCTTTAGTTTCAGGAACCAGATGTATTTAACAATCTGTGTTTTTAATAAAACCATAATTGCTTTTTTTCCAGTGCATTTCTATAAGCCTATCTTTTTTTCTGGCTTAGCAGCAGAGAAATGTGAATCCATATCAACTAGCTGGTCCTCTTAAAGATCCAGTTGTATTATTAAAAATAACATAAGGGAAGGAGAAGAATTTTGTGTATTCTGAATGGCTGCTTGTGGCTATATCACCTGGTAGCAGGGGTTCAGGACAGAGAGGGGTTTTCTCTCTAGACATTACTAACATTAACAAAGGAGAAACTTGGGGGGGGCTGTATAATATAACTAATAATTATGAGCTATAGCGGACCTGTAGCAAACAGTGGCAAGAGACTTAAAGATTTCATTTTTGTGCCAAGTGAACTGTCAAGGGTCCATTGTAGAATTTATTGCATTTTTGTAAGAAAAAAACCTAGGATTTTCCTCTGCAAACAGTTGTAGATAAATGTGATTTGTGGTGTAGGAGTAACTGGTCAAGATGGGTATTAAGGATGATTTTGATTTTGATTGTGAAGTATGATACCTTCTATTTTTGCACAGCGTTACTGCTAATTGTTGTCAGGATACCAGTGTTGGTGAGCCAGGCTGCATGGAGCTTTGATTTGGGTTGCAAAATGATAATGTGATGCATATATACTTTAAGAAGACATCCTGTAGACTGTTTCCATTTTTTAAGGTGCTGTTATGGTAAACAGCATTAAACTGCATCATAAACAATTTCAAAATCGGAAGCAAGAACCCAAACCAGCAGCTGGATTAAAGAAAGACTCACAGTCTAGTGTTTAATTTAGTCTTTTTATTTTAAGCATTTTTTTGTACATTTTCAGTGTTTGCAGGTTTGGAGTTGTGCTTTTGCATTAGCCAGCTTTTAAAATTGTGTATTTTTAACTGATGTTTCTAACTTTTTTCATATAACTATATCCTAACCTCCCTTTGCACCCATAAAACCCCATGAAAGATCATGTTGCTGCTGTGAAGACCATGTGTTAAGACAGGATCTTCATGTATGCTTATTAACAGCCCTACCTCTGTCCATTGATAATGATGGTAACGTGCCATTAAGACACTGATTGGTGTTTAACAGTCATCCAAGGATCCAGTGTTTCTAGCTGAAATAGTCCAGCCAAGTTTACATCTTGTGACTTCAATACGCAGAGAAGAATCTGTTGCTGCTATTAGTGCAGTCATTGTTGTATTATCTAAGAAGTTGGAATTCCTGTGCAAGCCTTTAAGCTCCGTGCAGGTAAAATGAATAAACTCAAAAACCCTGCACTGTGAATTGGCTGTCGGTGGGGAGTTAAACTAGGAACATCGGTGCTGGAAGGTCAGACCTTTGCTTCTGGGCTTTAGCTTGTAACAAGTAGTATGTCCTTTTTTGGCCAGGTAGCGAGGTAAGTCTTTCCCAAACACTCTGAGTGCATTGAGTGGAAGTTGTCCAAATTGTCTGTGAATTTTCAAAGCATGCAGAGAAATACGTTGTAGGTAAGGAGGAGAAAAAAGACTGTAAATTAGAAGGAACATTTCAGGGAGTTAGTAAATGATATAGTAGTTACCTTGATAGTACTGTGTTAAATCTTTGAATTTTCCTCCTGATTTAGGTTTATGAACACCAAGATGGAAGCAAGTCCCTGAAGCTAGGAGACTTTGGCCTAGCAACAATTGTGGATGGACCTCTATATACTGTTTGTGGGACTCCAACATATGTAGCTCCAGAAATCATTGCTGAAACTGGGTAAATCACTTCTAGTGGTGATTCATTGATGCATACAGTGAAGCATGTTCTTGTCAATATGCCAGATAGGAGTTCTTGCAATTAAGATTTTTATGCTGCCTTTGCTTGGGTATGACACAGAATCATAGCTCATAGAACAGTTTAGTTGGAAGGGACCTCTGGAGGCTATCTTGTCCAGACCAGCTCAGAGCAGGGCCAACTTTGGAGTTATATTAGGTTCCTCTGCCAGTTGTTGGCCTTAAACTTCTCAGCTTAACACTGAGTTACTAACTAGCCATTTGCAGATACAATAAAAGTAATCTTAAGCTGTCCCCAGAGACTGCTTAACTACCATTCACTTTTTCATTATCACGCACTGTCCTCTCCTGATTTGTTCCACAGAGTAAATGCCTGCTGGCTTGAGCAGCCTGTGTCACCTTTGCAGGCTTCATGTTGGTAGGCATCACTGTCTAACTCAAGAATACAGCGCAACATCTTCTGTGCACTCCTACACTCTGATCTGATGCGGTTTTAAGATGTATATGTAAACAAGATTTGGAAGTGGAATTAGGATAGGTAGATAGGACATAGAGAAAGTTCAGATGACAATATATAAGAAGTTATTAATAATTCTGAAAATGTTTCCTCTATTCTTGTACTGTAGTTCATAGGAGTCAGATGTCTCTAACCATGTCTCTCACACTTCTAGATATGGCTTGAAGGTGGACATCTGGGCAGCGGGTGTGATTACTTACATCCTGCTCTGTGGTTTCCCTCCGTTCCGTGGGTATGGACTGATCTATTCAACCATCTTTGTTCTGTGAATTGGTCCCTGTGCTGCTTTTGCATTAAGCCCAGAGATTCCCACTGGAAAAAGTTCTCTGCTTTTAGGGTTTGTTTTTTCCCATGCTCTGCATAATGATTTACACAAACCCCATAAATGTCTGTGATTTTACTGTAAAATTTCTGTCTCATGTTTGTTTATTTTAGTTTAAACTTCATTGCATTATAAAACAAGAGCCTCCATCACGGGTTATGGGTGCCTTTGCCTGATGTTTAAAATACACAGTGAAATAAGCATCTTCTTTCATGGACCAAATGCAACATATTTTGTGGTCGGTAAAAGGTAATTAAAGTGTAAGCCACTTAATAAGGACATGCCAGATCTTTTCTCCCCCTCAAAGCAATTGCAAAGTCGTTGACAATCCTAAAGAGAAGCAGGTTACCTCAGAAAGAATGTACCAAATGCACTTTCTTTTATGATCTCACCATTCACGCCCATGGTTGCATGCCTGGGGGGGAATCAACAGCTTCCAAAAGCATACTAAGGGATCGCTAATTAAAAGCAATTTCAAGAAGCCTATTGAAACCAGCTCTGGAAATAATTTCTTTGTGGGTTTTGTTGTTGTTTTTGTTTGCTTTTTACTTTACAGGAGCGGAGATGACCAAGAAGTGCTTTTTGATCAGATTTTGATGGGACAGGTGGATTTTCCATCTCCATATTGGGACAACGTTTCTGACTCTGCAAAGGTAGGTTTATATAGTTGATGATACTTTATTCTCCAATATTATTCCCAGTGCCAGTATCTAATGAATGTTGTTCTTTCACAGTGCTGTATTTGACATGTTTCATACACCTCCTGCTACACCTATCAATTCCTCTGGGTCACCGAGTATGTTGTCATTTTATCCCTGTCCGTCTGTTAGACTCCAGGCAGTTCTGAAATGGACCGCATCTCTATATGTTGTCTTACACAACAGAGACACCAGCAGCCCTTACTGATCAAGAAAAAATTTAAGTAACTTTGCTTGACCTACACTTCTTAGCTTGAAACCCTCCTGGGACTGTGCTTTGTATGTAGTTGTGATACGGAACAGGTACCAACCTGGAGCCTTTGAATATTATATAATAATATTATAGGGAGGCTGTTTTCCCCTTATTAATCCTATTAGATGATATGTCTGTTTCTTTCTGTCAAAGAGCCAGGCCTCTCATTGCCTGTGACTCCTTATTGTTGTCAGCGTGGTACGAAATACAGACTTCTTCTGTCCACCAGTTCATGGGCCGTAGCCTCCTGGCACGTGACACGAGAGGTAGAGCTTGAGGTGTGCTAAGGCAGATACAACACTTTTCAGACACAGATCCCGACAGAGCTCATTATACTTGCAGATCAGATCAAGTTTTCTAACTCTCATTAGTGCACTGGAGCAACAGCTTATCTCACAGACTTTCTAGGGATCTGGCATTCATGATAGTCGTGTGTATAAATATATATGGAGAAAGAGATAATACACATGTGTATGTAAAAGAAAAAAGCCAGAAACATAAAACTATGCATATGGTCATTCTGTAGATAAGTGCTTAATTTCTGCCAGTTTACTTCTGTAGTCTGTGAGGCGAATCCAGGCAAAACTGTCTTCCTGTTTCTTTCAGTGTGACGGTGTTTAATTCATCACAAAAAAAATATGAAATTTGGAGGTGGATGCGTGTAATGAAAGTAGCATTCTACATTCTAAGTCTCCATTCTTTGGAGAGTTACAACCTGCTTTTACAGATATGTGGAGGGTGATCAGGACTAGCATTTTAGCCTGTTAACTAATGAGATTAACAAATGAGATAGTCATAGAGTTGGAAGAAGTCCTCTAAACCACATCATTGTGTTGTAGCAGGCTTTATTTCATAGCATCATTAATGAGAACTCTGCAAGTCCTTTGCCAATGGTGTTCTCTTGTGAAACTCCTTCTTCCAAATAGTTCAGTCTAAAATTTCTGTTTTGAAGCATTAGCCTATTCATTTAACTTTTCCTTGTCGCTAAGAATTATTAACTTTGGTGATACCCCTTTGTTTGCTGTCATACTGCCATCCTGTTTTCTGTGCACTCCACTCACTGGTGGCATTAGATATATGTTTATTTACGTGCTAGTTGAAAACTAGGTAATTGCAGAGGAAATCAGAGGATGAAAAATAATGTTTTTAAGTGTTTCTTTTTTAATATCTTCTATGTCATTTATACAAGAGCTTAAAGTAAAATTCTAAATCTGCTGACTTTTTTCCTACAGAGGAATTGGCTTTTTCTTAATGGGAAGCTAACCTAATTTCATGCAACCATCTGTTTTGTACATTATGTATTAAGTGCTTTTCTCTTAAACAGTGGCTACAGAACTGTAACTCAGAACTGTCTTCTAGCTTTTCAAGGTACTGTTAGATATTGATTTAAAAGCTCAACTTGAACTTCAGCAGTTCATAGTTGTTTTTTTTTTTTAAATCAATATATTTCTGCAGTTGGTAGTTCACTCTCTCTTTGAGTTCACTCTCTCTTACATAATCAGTTGAAGAGCACTTTAGTGAATTAAAAGTTGATTTGTTCTTTAAAAATGTTCTTTAAATTTGACCCAGTATTCCATTTCTCAGGAACTTATCACAATGATGCTTCAAGTAGATGTAGATCTGCGATTCTCAGCCTTGCAAGTTCTTGAGCATCCATGGGTTAATGTAAGTATTTTCAGGCTTGTAGATGCTGCTTGTAATTTGGCACCTTTGACCTCTTTTCTGTCAAGTCCTTTCTATGCCCTTTTGGAGCCAGCACATTCTAAAAATGCCACAGATTTAACTGGAAATAAGCTGTGTTACAGGCTGGTTTAATATATCACGCGTACCTTGGAGTATTCACTATTTTATGCATGCTCAGCTACATTTTCTCTGAACTATTTTGGGCCAGGTTTTCAACAAATCTCAACCACACTTGACAAATTTATACCTCTAACAATCAGCTTGCGGGTTCAGTGACACATTTTGCTCTCCTAAAATCAGATGGACTCAAAAATCCGACAGTCATGCTTAAGAACTATTGAAATACAGTCCATAGTGTTAAGCCTACTTGATCCAGCATGAAACAGGGAAACCTTTAGAATCATATTTAGCTTCTGACGTTGAAATATACATATATTTATGTGCAGCCATATCCATTTAATCTGAGTTACCATGAAATAGCTATTTATGTATCCTGGTTTATCTCTAAGAGACTGGACATTTGCCATAGAAGTGGTAATCAGTGAGGTGGCATATGGTTAAATCTGGCAGAGAATGAAGAGATTTCTCTTTAATTAATGTTGAGACAAGGACACTACTTAACATTTGTTAATTATTTCAGACTATTTAATATGTCTTAAAATATTTGGATGACAAGAATGAAAAATTAGAGAAAATCCACATTCAAATTCATAAGGGAAGATTGAGAAAAGAAATACAATAGGGATGAGCAGAGAAAAAAAAATTAAAGGAGGAAGAAATAATGTTTCATTTTGTTTCTTGCAAGTTTGAGTGTGCAGTCCTCCCTAGAATACTATTTGGTCCCTCAGCTGCTGTATCCAAAATCTTTTTCTCACTAAAACACTATTCCAAAAATTCAAATATACAGTAACCTCAAATGTTAATCTTTTTTTATGAAAGTGTCCTTCATATGGCCCAGAATAGTGGTGATCAGTTAAGTGTTTACGAAGTATATGCTTTAGTCTTGGAGGCTCCCTTATTGTCCAAACCATTTTTTTTTCAGTTGTAAATGCTATTAGCATGCAGAGCACTTCTGCAGTGTATGAACAGTGCAAGGATCCAGGACAATGTCTGATGAAAATCTTTTCATTTTTAAGATGACATTCAAGCAGCTGAAATACTAATTTTCCTTGGTGCCAGGTACTGTCCTTGGACATAGTGTTCTGTCACAGTTTATAATGACTTTTGGCAACTGAGGTGTCTCTCTGTCTCCACGGGAGGAGGACGGGTGGGGATTTCTGGAGTGCTGCTGAGGAAGAGATGGAAGTGACTGATCAGAAGCCGCAGAGAGGCCAGGTCACCCATGGTGTCAGTCTGCACACTGCTGCTGAGGTTACTGAAACATCACTTGTTTACACCACATAAGGATGTGGTCACTAATCTTCCTCTTTTTCTGAAAAATACATTGGAACTGTTAATGCTCCCCCCCCAGACACCTTTTGTTTTTTTGGCTTCAGTTACACCACGATGTATTTTAGGAAGCCATTTTAGCGAGATGGATTAAGAAGAGTTGCAGCTCTTTGTCAGTAATGTGATGGTGATGGTGTGAAGGTGACATGAGGGTCTGCCCCCTGCCCTCACTAGTGCGTGCTGATGGGGAGGGATGGGGAAACAGGCCAGGGGCTAAAGTCTTTTAACACTACAGAGCTCCTGAGTTCTGGTTACTGAAGCACCCTGGCAAATTCCTGGGTTTCTGTGCAAGTTAAAATGTGGAGTCCTTTGCCAGAGGATGCTGTAGAGTCCAAGTATAAATGGATTCAAAAGGCAGTTTGATACATTTTTGGAGGATGAGCCCATTGGTACCTATTAAATATGGTGGTCTGGATAAAACTTTTGGCTCACAAGGTTCTTAAGTACTTTGTTGGCAGAAACTGGAGGATATACCAGGGAAAGTTTAAGATCTACTTGTCTTCCTTAAATGTGCTATTTCATAAACAGTGACCACGATGCACTGTTGGAAACAGGATACTGTGTTCAATTCACCTTTGGTCTAGCTCGGCTGCACTTCTCCTGGTTTTAGCTGATTATAATTCTTTTCAATCAAAACCTGTAGCAGTTCTGTCCATAAATAAGTGAAACAAATATTCCATGGCAGTTCTGTAATTTTTTCTTTTCTGTCCAATTGCTGCTTTTAGCAGCTGAGACGAATCAGTATTTTGTCTTGAGCAATATACTAACGGTAGTTCATAATGCAGATCAAAACCTCTTTTGAATTCTCTTATGTATCCTCCAGATATTTTTTCTGGAAGGAGAAAGGCCAGCACTGGGACCAGTTCAGGAAAGTGCTTGATTGAGTACATTCCAAATGCCATTCCTATTTCAAGGCATCACACATGGAAACACTTACTATTAGGCATAAAATTAACTAGATGGCACTAAAATCCTAGTTCACTTCAGGAGAAATAAGAACATGGCTGAGTTGAAACAGGTGCTTAAATGCTTTCGTGAAAAAGGACACTTCCCTGAAGCGGGTCTGAGAAGTATGCAGTAGATAGCCTAGCAGAGACAGCCTGCCTGTGTATGGAGGCAGAATGATACACTGGTGTCAGATCCAACCTCGCATCCCCATGCCATCACCAGCTTGGCCAGCTGGGAATCAGTCACACAACCTCCCTGTACCTCATTTTCCCAGCTTCAGGATAGGGTATTAATATACTCATCCCTGTCTATAAAAGGCTCTGCGATCTATGTGTCATGATTACCTGAGCAATTATCTGCAACTTTTGTAAAATACTGTCTTTCTGATAAGAAATGGCACATGGAGTTTTCACCTAACACTCCGTTTTCCCAGATAACCTGTTTAAATACTTTTCCATGATATCAAATGCTGGACTTCACTTTCCCTTTTCTTATTTCAGTTTTGAACCTATTCATAGAGTGGTAAACTTGCAGCTAAAATACTGGATAGGACAGCTGGCTTGAAAAGCAAGCATGTGTTTTCTTTGACAATTTTAAGAAACATTTTCTCTCTTTGATCAAACCTTTGATAGAAGTGTTGTAACTGCTTACACTGTATAAAACCATTTTGTAGATTGTAAATAACCATTCTACTTTATAGCTGCTTACTATGTGATTACTTGGTAAATTGCTGAGATTCCTGGAATGTGCTTTGACAGTTTCAATAGGAGCCAACCCTCATTTCAGTTTCAGTTTTTGCTATAAAAATAGCTGGAATCCTCTTGGAAACTGCAAAACTTGTTATGGGCAGAGTCAGACCAGTAAAGCAGTTCCTATGTCAATAATATCCCAGCTGTTTTCAATTCAAAAAAACAAAACCTGAAAAGATGTTGGCTACGTGCCACTGCCACAGATGGAGATCTTGAATTCTAAATGCAATTCAGCAGCAGTTCCTTGCCCCCTCCATTTGGTTTATTTGGATTTGTCTCTCCTATGCAGTACACTTAGACCTGGAAACAAATCCATCAGTTTATACTTCCCCTACAGGGACCCCAGCTCTTTACCTGCTCAAATTCTTTGCGAAACCAAAGAATTACAAAAGAGGCTGAAAGCTTGAGGTCTGGCATTTTAAACATTGATGATCTTGATAACCTGAATTATACTATACAAGTGCAGGACAAAGCTATTCTCTTTTTGTCGTATAAGTAGTAAATGTTTCCTAATACAGTATTGAGCAGTGAATGCTGAAAGGGATGGATTGCATTCTGTAAATCCTTCTCTGTTAAAATAATGAATATAAAATGTGGTGTGTTGTTGCTGGAGGAGGAAGATGGCACACACCAGCCTAAAAAGAATTAGGGAAACTGGAACTTTTACATATTTCCTTAACCATGTCTGCCTTGGAAATCTGTGTGCAAAAGAAATGAATAACCAAGCGGTAAAGAGTAATAAGCTGAACATTTGTAAGGAAGTTAATTTAAAAAGACATTTCTTATTTGGCAGCTGCACTACTTTTGGTTACACCCTAGGACACTGCCCAAAGAAAAATCTCCTTGTAATCCTTAAAGGAAACAAGAGTCCAAAAGCTTTTCCAGCACTTATATTTGCTCTAATTTTCTTCTGTTATTTATATAATGACCTATTCAGCTGATGCTTTTAGAACTGGAAAGTAAAGCTCTTGTGACCGGCTTATGAAATGGATCTGAGTGCTTCAGGGCAGCAGGAGTCTAGGAATCCTGAACTTTGTTCTGTCTTTTTAACACTTCTTTTTTCTTTGAGTGGCAATGTCTCCTGCCATAGAGAACAACGAAAATATGAAAACAGTGTTTATTAGTTACTCAAATGATGCCAAGACTCTCTGCCTCTTTTTTTTTTATTATTATTTTATTTTGATTTCTTGCAAATAGATCATGAAGGGAATTTTGTGGAGGCTGATAAAATATATATATATATCAATATATAGCAGTTTACATTCTCCAGGTGAAAACTCAAATTCTGGACCAGAGTTTTCAAACTGTCAAAGGGTTTTGACTGCTCAACTTCTGAGACGTGCTCAGGACAGTGCTTCTTTCAGAGCATCAGCAGTCAACATTTTCTGAAGCTCACGACCCTTTAAAGTTCCCAGAGTTGAGCACCAAAAATCACTAGTCATCTTTAAAAGATCTTGTCCTGACTGCTAAAGCTCAGATGAAATTCTGTGATCCTAACCTGCTGCAAGTAGTTCCTATAGCAAAAGGTTAACAAAGGGGAAAGGAACAGTTAACCTCTTTAGGGGCTGACATCCTTCCCATTACAGCAACCTGATGAAATTCTTGTCAGCAATATTTAGCCTGTTCTCCAATTCTACAACTTACCCTGCTGATTCTGGTGAATCTGATGATTTCTTTTTCACTTCCTGCCTTTTTAAACTGCTGAGCAGCATGTTTTGTATGTAGTTAAACAGCTGTCATCTTTCACCCTCAATATCTATTTTATTGTTGGCTGAAGTGATCCCAAGAGCCAGCTAATATATATTAGCTTGTTTATAAAGCACGTTGGAATAAAAAAAAAGATAACTACTAAACATCAGGTAGCACCAACAGTAGTAAGAAAATGTAATAACGATAGAGTAATTCCCATATATCCCTATGCTGCATCTTAAATTGAGCTGGAAGATATTTCATTTAAAAGTTGGAGCCCAAACTATGTGTCTCTGGCACGTTGCCACTGGAACTGTGGATGTGGTGCTTCACCAATAAAATATTACCAGTGTCGTGGTAACTATTGTCTTCTCCGTAATTTAGTCTTTTGACAAGACGACATGAACATTTGGCAGGCTTTCATGTCAAGAAAGCCAAGAGAATGATTTTTTTTTTCCCCCCTCTAGTGAAGAAGAGTTCAGTTCACTTACTAGTTTTCTTCTGGGAAAGGCAAGGTCAGCGGAAAGCAGGTTATTTTTAGGGGTCATATACCACCAAGCCAAGACTCCCCAGTGCTAGACAATAATCAGCTACTGGGTTGTATTGTTTTGTTTTGCAGCTGTGTGCACTTGACCATATTTTGCCAGCTGAGACATTTTGTTAAGGGGTGAGCGAAGGATCTCTAAAAACAAACTCCCCAAGCTAAATAAATAACAAACCCTAACCAACCTCCCTAAAATTCCCATATGCTCACTGAGCTCATGATTTACTGCAGCAACTCTGTAACTCTTTAAGTGCACTCAGAATTGCTGCAAAGCCAGAAAAAAAAAAGTGTCTGTCATCTCTCTGTATTCAGGTCTTGTCTCTTGTTTGCCTGTATTCTGCTAGGACTTTGCCTAAGTGGAATTGAAGAACTTTTTCAACTGTTGATAGCTACGCATACTATGCAGTACTAGCCAGTGACCTGATAGCCTGCATATTCTGTCTATTCTGCATTTTGTTGTGTATTCCACCTATTCTGCATATTGTGGCCTGAAATCCTGCATATTCTGCTAGCGGGGAAGTCTCACCAAACAGTAGCTTTTTGTACTTTTTTCAGGCGTAAGGACCTTACTTGCAATTTCTAAAAAACCTTCTTTCTTCTCTTGGGCTTGAATTCAACCCGCTGACTTGCACAAAACTGCAAAATTCATTCTTTCTCCTAGGGTTTCACTTCAGCGTCGAGGGTGCCTGCGTACCTAGGTGCAGATAGACAGGTTTGCTCTGCAAAGCAGGATGTTTCAGCTGGGAAGAGGCACCTTCTGGCCCAGCTGCATGGCTTCTGGGTGGGAGCTCGCGCACAGCTGGCCAGCTTGGTGCACGTGACAGCAGAACATGTGTCTGCCTCTGCTTGGCCATGCAGTTGTGTGCCTACTTTTACCTCAGGTTAGCGCAAGTTGAGAACATGTGTCTTTCAACAAGGAAGAAGAGGCCACCCACAGCTGGCTCCAGCCCTTCTCTGGTTTCACGGGCATTCTGTACCTCTCTTTGTCCTTTCCCCACAGTATCCTAGGCTTGTGTGCCTTGGGACTGGGGGACTGGGGGAAGGAATTGCAGTCCCTTGTCTCAGTCAGAGATCCGATTTGCAGAGGTGGCTTTGTTTAACTATGCTTTTAGTATGGTACAGTCACAGTCTGCGGGGAATACCACAGCAAGCTGTGAGCCTGCGCCTAACCTGGCCTGCAGATGTACGCAATGATACGTCCTGGCATTGGTGAGGTCCCGCGCTCACCCGTCCCGAGGTTCTCAGCCAGGGCATGTCTCAGCTCCCATCTTGCCTGGGTTTCCTCGCTGAGGGACTCACTGAGCCGTGGCTCAGCCGTGGAACATTCGCTCAACCCCGTAGTCTCTGAGTTTGTAACCTTTATGATGAGACAAGGACCATATTGGTCTCTCTCAGGTTTGAGAGGAAGATATTGGGTAAAGAAGAAGAGAGAGGCTGGTTCATGACATAACATGATGTTCATCTTATCAATACCTGAGATAGGTTGGTGAAGACAACATTGATTTAATTACAAACTTTTTGTAAACTTTTCTATATTGACAGGTGCTATCAGAATCACCTCACAATTCCTTTATTTTGCCTTTTCTCTCTGAAGTTTTATTTTGCTTTATTTCTCTGCAGGACGATGGCCTTCCAGAGAATGAACATCAGCTCTCAGTAGCTGGGAAGATAAAGAAGCATTTCAACACAGGCCCTAAACCGAACAGCACAGCAGCTGGAGTTTCTGTCATAGCAGTAAGCATCTGAAATACACAGCGAAAACACTTAAATATGTGCACACAAGAAAGTGTGTGCTTAGGATATGCCACCAAAAGAAACCGGAGAGGGTTAATCTTTAGATAACTCTAGCGTTTAATTAATATAAACGTAGTTAGACTGGTGTTCTGCACAATTTCTCCATTGATTCTCCTTGTGAGTCACATTGTTATTTAACAACACTAGGAGATATAACTGTACACACACTTCCACATTTTACCAGAAGATCAGTGGACCTAACTCCAAGGTAGATTCAACAATTTGAACTATGGGATCATGACATTTTACTTGGCAGCAGAATCATCACATGGATTGAGGCCACACAGAGGTTGTAGCAGAAGGTCAGCAGCACTTTAAAATGGAAATTACTTCAAAATTATAACAGAAAATCTGTAGGGCAGCCTTAGCTTCTCTTCTCTGAAGACATCAAAGAGAGCTATGATGCCTTACTGCTACCTTCATAGTTGATATTAGTCTAGCCACTTCAGATTTAACTGAGCAGCAGCATTTTATTGTACTGCCACATGCGGGCTGCTTCCCTTTAGGTGGAAGGACTTAATTGTGTAAAGACTTAATGGAGCTCCTTGCTGCCTTTTGTCATGTTGCAATTCCAGTCTAGGCATTCCAGGCTAGAATGTGTTGGAGCTTCTGAAACCAAGCTTGACCAAACTTTTGACCAAGCTTTTCTGAGGTTTCAATGGCATCCTCAGTGTAGTATACATCACATGCCTTTGTATTTTTTCCCCAAAGATGAACATGTGTATTAGATATATGTGCACACAGAATATATTCAGTGTATTATGAGATTATTCATACTAATGCCATTCAATAGTAACATGCACATCCTTCACATTTTTGATACATCTGCCTATGTTTGTAAGCTTTTCTTTATTACTTGTGGTAATGTTAACGCTCCAAATAGTCACTAAAAATAAGTGACATGTTAAACATAACCATTCCCATATCAGATTACTCAGTGTTCATTCCCAGCTTCCATAAATTGCAGGTGGTGTGACTGCACATGTACACTTTCTTGTACTGTTTCCACTTTCATGTTTCTCAGCTCAGCCCCTCCAGTGGTGAGTTAAATCAGCATGAAGTAAACTCAGCTCAGCACATGCAATCTGGCTCACAGGTGTGAACTGTTTGTGCGGCAAAATGGATACTCTCTCAAAGTTACTTGGTATAAGTACTTAAAATTTCAAGCTGTGCCTCTCTCGTATTTTTTCTTTACTCTTTCCAACCCTGAACGTCCTCAACATGGAAGCAAGTTATTCCTCATGCTTTTCCTAGATTTTCTCAGTCATCAGCTAACATAGTCAGCATTTATTTATTTTCATTTTTAAGCAATAATACTGCAACAACTCTCCCACAACTAAAACATCACATACCCATTGCTCATCTGAAATGCAGGTATGTTCTGTATAGACTAGCTGAAACCGTGTTCCTTTCGAATGGACTGCCAGCACGCTTGTCCATGAGAATTACTGCTCAGACCCTCCATTCTAATGACTTCAAAGCTTAAAAGCGAGAAATGATGCCTCTGTCCTCATCCATCCCTCGCCTCCTTTATGTTTTTAATTTCCCCACCCTCCTCTTTTTTTTCTTTGCCCCAGTTGCTCTGCCAAGGAATTGTTTACAGCAATTTGACACTTGAGTAATGAAAAAGGCACTGTAGTGAATCTTTCCACTGTAAAACATTATACATCAGAAAGAAATATATATGTATATGTTTAATTACATTCTTAATGGCTTTTATTTATTTTTTAGTGTTTGGAAATTTAACAGATTATTTTTAGTGATCATCTCTGTGGGTGAACGTCATACTCTGGCACAATTAATCCTGCAACTTGGCCTATAAAGTAGAAATGTTTAGAATATTTTTACAGAATTCAGAAACTGGTTTGATTAGCATGTGTCAATCATTTTCTAAAAACTTGGAAGAGATGGGGAAGTATAGACCTCCTTAGTGTTTTGGTAATGTTCCAGAAAGCTAAATAATTTTCATTTTAAGAATAAATTACCTTTATTTTCTACAAAACTAATTTAGTAAGTAAAATAAAGCCAAAAGCAAAGCAACAGCACCTTTAATTGTTATTTCTGCATTTGAAAGCATACTTAATGTACATTTGACATGCATGTCATCAGGGTTTTACGTTTCAGAATCTTCCTTTAACTGTGCAATCTCAAATATCATAGAAGTAAATCTTATTAATGAAGACTGCTCTACGTTTAGAATTTTCGAAGTATGTACAGATGCTGTAACATATTGTTCAGCACTAAAGACGTGCACTAAGTATATTTTCTACAAAAATACTGTTTTATTGTGCCTGCCTGTATGTTTACTGTATGTAACTTTTTGAGCGAGTGCTTGTGTATATAATATATAGAGATGCCTTCTATATATTATATAACACATCTGTGTCTGTGTGTGTGTTTGTGAAAATGTGTTAATATGTACATATATTTATATAGCTTACTTAATAGTATAAAAGATAAATATTAGCATTATTTTGAGTTTTATAGCTCTGTTTATGTACAGAGATAGCTAATCTGTGGTATTTAGTTCTTAATTTGTCCTCACACTGGTATGATATATATGATATATACACCTGTTTTCTTCAGTGGTAAGAAGTAACACACCTCAAAGATCTCAAGCAGTATTTATCATATGCACCAATTAAAACTATAATATGAAAACTAAGTTCCTAAAGATGTGTTTGTGGGCAGCTTGACTGGGAGGAAGTTTGAAGCCACATGTATTTTACATATGTCTACTGTGGCTACTGCTTCCTTCAGCAATGTCCAAATACATTGTATTGACTCCTTTGGTTCAAACTTACGCCTGCTTTGTTGATGTGGTAATCCTCAGTAAAAGTTGTCTCTGACCATTCAGGGCAGAGACATCCTACAAGTTCTCACGCATGTGTCCAGACTTCAAGTTTGTCCACATTTGAAAGGATTTGTCGGTTTGGACAAACTACCATAATGAACATGTTGTGCATGCCTAGCAAAGTAATTCCTTTGCTGATGTGACAGAAGATGATTCCTCAAACAAAATTAACTGTACAGGCAAAGAAACTTTTCTGTTGATACATTAATACATCATTAAAAGTTCTGCCAGCATAACTATGTCAGTTGGGAAGAAATTCCCTTAAACCAACATAGCTTTGCCAGCAAAATTTTAATTGGAGAGCTAGCTTTTAAAACAGCAAGAGAATTAACAAGTCCCTAAAAAACACTGCTTGCTGATGAGAGAGTATGTAGGAGAAAGATCACTTTACTTGCCCTGTTCTTAAACTCTAGTCATAGGCATTGACTACTGGTCCCCGTAGGAGACAGGGTCTGGGCTAGTGCCCCCCGGTCTGTGTCAGAACAGCCGTGTTACTGTTAAGCATGTGCCAAAATATTTGCAGGGTCAGGTTTCTCGTACAGTTTTCCAATAGGAACAGTATTTTGTAGTTCTGTGGTGATGTTTATAAAAGATACTGCACTAAAAACATAAAACCAGGCTTTTACTAAATAGTCTTTTTAAAATTTGGCGATAGATTTTTTCCTTCAGTTTTCCAAGGATGTCACCCCATTTTTTTTTCTTTGGCCACGAAACAATACCCTGTGGCTGTACCCTCTGGGCTTTAGTGACAGTGACTAAAGTGACCAAGAGCCAAAATCCTTTTTTAAGAATGCTTCTGCAATCCAGAGGTGTGCTGTAATTCCTTGTATGAACCGAGCATCGTTTAATTTGTGTTCTTGTCTGAAGTGTTAAAGCTTTGCCTGTATGTTGTCACTTTTGTGCTTGTATTTTTGCCATTGTTAAGACAGAGGAAAAGACTAATAATAATCTTCTGTTAAAGTTGTATGAGGTCTCTGTCTTGGCAATGGGAGTAAACTCCAGCTGGAGATTCAGAGGAATTGAGTAGGACAATAAAAGAGAAAAGCTGCTCAGAAAGTCGGTGCAGCTCTCTGCCTCTTGCAGAGTCCTTGCTGGGCTGGGGACACCGGTGTGGGACCACTGCCTGCCATCCGGCAAGGGGAAGGCAGCGGATGGGTCATTGCCCTATGTTCTGCTGATTTTTAAATAAAATTACAAATTCCAAGTGGCATTTCTAGCAGTGGGAGTTCTTGGGTGGTGTGGAAGAGAAGCCAAGTTTAGTGAGTTTTGCTTGGCTTAAAGATGAACCCGTGCCTTGAATGTCACTTCCCATCTATTGTCTGTGTTGTCCTGGGATCATTGTCCACAGTCGGGTTTCTCATAGCAGGATTTCCACACCGACAAAATTGTTTCAACTCGTGTTAGGAAGCAACTCTCCCGATTCTCTCTATATTACTTTTTAGCTATTCGATTTTAGGGCAATATTTTTGATCTGCTTTTTAAGAAAGCATCCCTTTTGTGTATTTTATATGTAGCATACAAGGAAGCCAGTAGATGGCAATAGTAGACCAGCATAGTTAAGCCAACTCTAATTAACTCTAGGTACAAGGTTCTCATGGTTTTAAAGAGGAAACATCCTTTAAATAATTCTAAATAAGATGAAAGTGGCATTGTCTTAACAAAATGGAATAAATTATTAAATTCTACACTTGCAGGGGAGTCATCAAGAAAAATTTAAATTTGCAGTTAGCTCCTAGCTGCCCTTTAAGTGGTTGGTAACTAGAAATGTGTTGAACTGCTTTTCTGAATTTAGAATTAGAAACTGTCATCAGTATTGGAAATATATGCCACGCTTTTATTGAAGCACAAAATGGCCTTTTCTCTTCATAGGGGAAAATGTGAAAATCATCACAACTAACAATTTTAAAGCAGGCAGAGTGTCTGTCTCAAGATATTTTCCCCTAAAATTTTATTTAACTCGGCTAAATGATGTCTCTACCGTCTGTTAGTGCAGCACAGAAGGATTAGAAACAACACATTTTCTTTGTTCCTATGCACAAGATTCTGCTAATGATAAACTAAACTTAAAAGATCTATCTTCCTTAAGTAATATCACGAGCACACTTTCCTGGACACAATGTTAAGTTCATTTCCATTTTGAGTTTAATTGGTGCAATTTTAAATGGAATAGTTTTGTACTGTTATCTTTTTGAGCATGAGGTGTAAGCTGAAATGATAAACAATGTTATTCATGGCTCTGAGTAGTCCGACTCTCCAAGGTTAACGCATTTTTAGAAATGAATTACCATGATTGATGGGGTATCAAAACCTGATTCTTTTCATCTTTACGCATTCCATGATTATGAAGCGGTCTAATTTAAGCCTTGTGTAGTCTGTCTAGCCTGCTCCTTGTGATGGTTGCACTGCATTTTTTAAATTATTAAACCTCTCAGTTTAATTGCAAAAGATAATTTTCCATTACTGGTATGTGCAACTTAAAAGGGCACTTCTGTCTTTGGAGGTAACAAGATATTTGTCAGACTTTTAAATGAATGCATTATGCATTGAGTAACCTATTTCACAAACTCCATTTTAGTTTGAATAAATTGGCTTCTAATTTAGCAAGACCAAATCTAGAGTTAGTATCTTTTTCTTTTATTTCTTTACTTTTTTTTCTTTTTCGTTTCCGTCTCCGGTACGTGGCTTTAGGATGTTAGATAAGTGCCTTCTGAAAGTGAAAACAGTAAATATGCACTAAATAAGGAACAGCTTGCTCTGGAGTCTGAATTCTTTAGCCTAATGTTGATCCACTGAGTTGCCCCGTTTCTCTCTGCTCAGCTGGACCACGGGTTTACCATCAAGCGATCAGGGTCTTTGGACTACTACCAACAACCAGGAATGTATTGGATAAGGTATGAGATGGTGCAGCGCCAACAGTCAGTGTTTCCATGGCAACGTGCTGGCAGTCTCCATTAACCAGTTCCTTCAGTGGATAAACATGCTTTTTGATTTGTTATCCGGTCCATATGCTGCTTTATCAGTTTCGTTTTAATCTTGATTGAGATGCCACACCCCCTCATTCCCTTTCTTCACCCATCCCTCACACCCACATTGCCAGCTTTCTCTTCATTGCACATGCTCAGTATCAATTTCCCCTATAGTTAAAAGGACAGTGTATATAGAAAATCTACTAGATATGCTGAAGTACGCACCCTCCCCCTCCCTATTGCTTGTTAAGGCATCTGCTTCCCCTGCGCTCCTATTTTGAAACACAGGGAGCAGCAACAGGCTCTCAGCATATATTTTCCTCTTTTTCCATGCGAGATGTGGAGCTATATACTGTCATTTTAAACCCACCAAACACAATCCTTACCTTAGATTGAACAATGCATTTACATAACGCGGTATGTAGAAACTCTCCCAAGTTCAATGAAATACAATGCATTGTATGTGCTGGTAAGCTTGTGTTTCTAACAATGCATTCTTTCTCTTTTCTTTTTAAAATCCTTCTGATACTATTTATTTTGATTTTATTTTTTTATATATTGCATGAGTTTTTTGAATATATTTTTCTTCATTGTGTAACTGTGCCAGGGTTGTTGTTAGCTGGCTTAACCTGTATGATAAAATGGGATTCTGGGCGGGAGGGGGCTATTCTGGAGTGGGGGCAAGGAGGGATCCAGGTCTGATAGCCCACGCGAGGCCCATGCACCTCCTCAATCAATCCAGAGCCCTGGAATTTCCATCAAGTGGTTATTTGCTGGCTTTTTTCCTTCTTATTACTCACAAGACCTGCGGTTGGATAGTTGGAGAAATTTTTATAAGTTTCTTGCGAAACCTGCGTTTTCTAACACTGCAGTGATTGAAGCCTTTAAAAACTCATCTGTGAGGTATTTGGAAAAACCCAGCAAATTAATTGCATTAGTGAAACAGCAGAGATGGTCACTGCAAGTGTTTCCAGTAAAGTAAAACTCCCACCCTGGATGATTCCACTGAGTGCATGGATTGGGCTACAGCACAGTTTCCATAAAACCTAGCAGTTCCCTGGGCTCACACTGAGGGTTAAGTAAATTCTGATATGGATGTTCTGGGGAAAGAAAAAACAAAAATAATCCTACTTTTCAGGCAAGAAGTAGAAAAGTAGTTCCCATCCATCAGCTGAACGCTGGCTAGCAGGAATTGAGAAACATTTTCACTCCCAAGTGCTTGAATGTGTAGCAGTACCTGCAATTCCAGCCTATTGCACTTGTGTCCGTGGCTATAAATCTACCGCAACCTGCACGGACATAGCAAGACCTGTTTAGTCTATCTTGTCGCTTGGCATCACGCTTCACAGGTTCCAGCCCTCTAACACGGCCGAGAGACGGCAGCACATCATCTCTGCTTTTTGGTTTTGAAGAGGTGGGGAATGGGGCCTGAGTGCCCAGCTTTAGCTAAGTGTGGGTTTGATAGTATTAGAGGAATTTTTCTTTCCGCTTATGAAGGAAAGATGGCATTTTGTGTCAAGCAGGACTTTGTCAAATAGTTGGAAATTTAATGCCTCCTCCGTAAAACAGGGGAAAACTCACATGAGCTTTATTTATCCTCCTGGAGTTTAATTGCTATCCATGACTAGTTTACACTCCTTCTATGCTTTACTATTTTTATTTTACACCAAAAAAAAAAAAGAAATCTGTCTTTCCATTTGCCATACACAATGTTTGGATCTTTTAAAACCCCAACTTCAGGGGGAGCATGCCACCAGAAACAGGAGCCTGTGATATAAGCGAGCGTCTCCTCTCAGATTGGCCTTGACTCAGTTTAACTGCATAGCCCAGATTTTGAAACAAACCATATGCATTTTGAGGAGGTAGGGGGGGAAGACTCTAATTCTGCAACTTGGTAAATAAATAAACGCTATAAAAAAAAAAAAAAAAAGGCCATTTGACTAAAGCACTAGTAATGGCTGCCATCAGCATACAAAATGACACATCCCTGAATAATGGGCTGGAGCAGATGGGCGATAATCTCTCTTATTCATACATAAACTGCTCTGTTTTCCAGCTGGGGGCAGTAACAACAATGTCTGTAATTAGTGCTTTCTAAACAGGGCACCTAGTGTGGAAAGGCAAATTGGGAGAGCAGGGCTTCTAGGTATAGATGCTTAATTAGGAAATGCTCTAACAGGGAGTACCTCGGAACAAGCACTGCCCTGTGTTTGCTCCTCTTTCATCTCCAAGAAACAAGCAACTGCTGTAGTGACCAACATTTTAGTCTAAACCCACTTCGATTTAGCAAGTGTTTACTGTTTAGTAGTAACTGTAAGCGCAAATGCAAAGCATATGAAAAGGTTCATCAATTCCCATCTATAAAACAGTTAATTTATCACAGGCCCGTGAAAATTAACCTGAATTTACAGGTACATCAAAAAATGAAAGCAGGTCCCAAGGAAAATGTAATGCTCCCTTTGTTACTGTTAAACTATTCATTTCTTCTCCACTCCTTTGATCGTTTTCATCCCTAGTTTCTAGCAGTCTTCTAAAACATCTTTTTAAATGGCACTATTTCCTCCTTCAATCAACCAGAAAACCTTTTCCTTTCTCTGCCTAAAAGACTTTCCTATTCAAAGGGCCTCAAAGTCCTAATTTTCTGAGCACCTATTCTGCATCCTGTTGTATTCCCTTTCAGTAAGATAATACGTGCAAAAGTGACATGACTTTTTTGAGATACTAAAATACAGCAAACCTTATTTACAGTAATACTTGTTGTAGCAGGTATGAGATATAATGCCTGGAAAATCTTACAGTGTTCCTTGAATATGAGGAACAGAAAAAACACGGGCCAAATCAGTAAAATCATTTGGTCCCCAGACCAATACATGTTTTAAAAGCAGCCCACCTAATGTTGTCAGGACATCAGCCCTGCAATCAGAAGTGCAGAAAAGGCCAAAGTCAGTCAGTAGGGAATGAGATCTGGAGGTCCCAGTTAAACCCCTGTCAGTCTGTACTGCCCCAAGGCTGGTGAAACTTATTGTTCTTGATAGCCAGGAAAGCCAACCTTGGTGTAGCTGGGTAATGCCCATGGTGCAACCACATCGTCATTCACCCCAAATTGCCAGTGTCTACTCAAGTCAAAGACAGGAGTGATCACCCATCTCTGAGCAGAGGTACTATGTTTGGGATTTCTTTTTTTTCTCCAAAGTCAGCCCATTCTCTGACAGATCTCTTTGTAAAAGGGTTAAAGCCAATGCATTCATCTTTTGTAATTTCCCTTCTGCTGGAACTTAGCAACAGTGACCACAAAAAACCCAAATGGCCCCTGCATTGTCCTTCAGAAATATCATAACTGATAGATTTACTTTCTTATAAGGAGCTTTTCTTTAAGATGTACTTAACTGAGGCTTTTAACAGTTTGTGTGACTCAAGTTTTTTGGCTTTCTTGTAACTAAGCCAGAATATTAAGAGTGAAAGTATTTCAAGCCTCCTCTTTAGCCCCAAGTGTTGCAGTGTCTGGTCCATAGCCTTCTTCAGCTGCTTTACCTTTTCCTCCTAGTGGCAGCACATTTTGAAGGCAATACTTTGCACAACTTACCAATGTTTTCTTCAACCCTGAATTTCCTTACTGGTTCTGGTTTATGTCTGAATCTTAACATTATTTTAATCTGCTACTGACAGAATGGCCTGAATTTTCTGCCTTTTCTGGGCTGATTCAGAACATCAAGGGAGCACCAGAGTGGGTGTATCTAATGTAAAATATTAGTAGAAAATATTAGTATATGTAGTATTGTATACAAGATTAGTATAAAATGTTAGCGTATGTTATTTTTTATATATCCACAGACACTATATAAAAGCTAATGATAATAATGACAATAGCAAAGAGATGAGTTACTTTGGATGCTTAGCGAAATCATCAGTCCAGTCAATACTGAATTAATAAAATACTGGATTTTTAGAATACAGCTCTCACTGTCCCAGTTAAAAATTATCTGAATAGCTCATTTGAAAACCCATAGTTCCATCCTCTGTGTTTGGTTCCTAATTCCCATTACCATGCATCTGTCAAGTTAGTTACACCTGTCACAGGTGGCTACAATACACTTTCAAGTCTAAAGTTACAGCCAGACCTCTTGACAACGGGACAAGGAAGTTGGGAATCAGGCTTGCTATCGGTGAAGTGCCATTTTTAATACCATAAAACCCTCTGTAAACTGAATATTGGTAAATACAGGCAACCATCTAAACTCATTTAAAATCTCTTCTCCTGCTCTTTGACTAAGAAAACCACAACTGATTTACAAACTATAAATAAAATTCACCCATGCAAACAACTTGGCACTAAGTCTCTTCCACGTGTAATTGAAACCAGCTGAGGAACCGTGTCTCTAAAAATGGGGGATGTCAAAGAGTAAACACAAACTTAAATATAGCAATATGAATTCAGCAGTTATACGTGTAGAATACTTGTCTTTGTATTCACTCACCAGTACAGTATGAAGCATACATCAAATTGATTTGGTTTTCTTTCTTTTTTACTTTCATTTGAGCTAAATTCCATGCCAGAAGTTACATGGTGCGCTAAAGCACTGGCCTTTTGTATTTGGAGGTCTAGGTTCAAATCCACTCGATTAATTTGTCCCCTCGATGTGGTCATTTGCACGTCTCCAAATCACCGTGTAACTTGACTTAGTTATAGCCTGTGCCTGAGGGGCTAAAAATAACATGTGTCTTTCACTCCTGGACTGAGGTGCATTTCTAAGTTTGAAGTACTCTCCAAAAAGTGTCTTGAATCATGGATCAATCACACATATATATATATGTGTTATATATATATATATAACCTGAGAAACCCATGGAAAAAAACTAAAAAAGGTCAGACTGAAGGGCTGCCTCGCTCGTGCCATGAGCATTGTTTAATGGTCTTTTTTACAGTAGGGAAACCTGCCGTTACATATCTCACCACATTGAGGTCACTAGCCAGAAGCTTAAGGAAATAGGATAAAATTACCTAGGTGTGAACATTTAAATATCTGCATACACATACATGTATATAAAAGAATGCACTGGAAGAAAAAAACCAGTGTTTCAATACATATGTCCATGTAATTCCACACACTAAACAAAGCATCACGAAAATTGCAAACAAATTGCAAATATGCTCCTGCAGAATGAAAGCGAGTGAAGGGAAGGGTTTCTTAGATTAATGCATGAACAGCTGCATCCCCAGTTCAGTCTCCTGGCTGGTATGAATAATGGATGGACTAAGAGGCAAAATGCACAATAATGTTCTTTTATTAATGAAATGAATATATATCTATATTTGGTGCCCAGCAGTAAATTAAGACAAGTCAAAAGAAAAACAGTCACTGCTCGCATTCATAAAATGCAGTTACTTCAATCCAGTAATTACTGACCTGACAGAAAATATCACCCCACAGCTAAAATAAGGGGCTTCCCACTGCAAATCCAACATACATATAAAAGCAGTTGTAGTTTTCGAATGTCTGTTCATAAACACAGAATTCAATGTTTTCCAAGAAAAAAGAATTTGCAGGCTCAGGAGTCCTGCAACATCAAGACATAGACATCAGGAAGAAGACACTCCCTGTGGCAAAATCCTGGAAAAATGCTAACTGCACCTTAGTATATAGGTGACAGAAACAATGATTTTAAAATAATGCTCCATTACTTCAAATTAAATGCATTTCCAAAATGGCTTGTTAACCATTTGGTACCGGGTGTCAGGATTACTAAATGTTGATGCAAAATACATTAGTGCTTAATGAAGTGCTTCAGACCCATCAGCACCAAACTATTAGAGGCAATCCACTTATCTGCTGCTGGATAAGAAGCTCTGTATTTCCTCATATGGATTGTAAGAGGACAGCCGCATATCTTAAATAAGAATGCTATCCTTACATTTTAGTTGCCATTACTATCATATAGTGCTCAAAGTTCTCACTCTCTCACCTCGAGCCAGGAAAAATAATGTCAAAATGTGATAATGAAAACCTGGGATTTGCAGCCCTGTGAAGCATAAGTGCACTTCAGATCCACTTATTATTTATTGAAAGAGTAGCTTAAAGTAGAAATGCCCTGGAAATCCATAATGGGCTGGTTCATGCACCGGCGAACCACCCACCTGAACAGCAGAAGAAATAATAAATCTATTAAACCAAGGCAATGTGTATAAGAGGCCTTTGTTACAAAAACAGTAGTAATAATGAAAAAGCTGATTTTTGGAATATGCCCACATGCACAAGAGGGTGGAAACTGCACTTACAAAACACATGCAGTCATTACTCAAATGTATCTTACCATCTCCCCTGTGTTCCAATGCAGTAATTTATTGTATTTTGAAATTCTTTAGAGGGAAAAAATAACCATGACCTCATTAAATGAAAACTGGCATTTATGCAGAATGCAGAGTGGCCATACTGCCTGGCAGTGTAATAGACACTGGAAGTGCAAAAAGTCATTGTAACATTGGGCAGAATAAGCCCGGTCTCGCAAGTTCTGTAGGGCCTGTGGGTGCTCTGTCTGTGGCCAGAACTGACCCATTTTGTGGTTCTGACATGTGAAGCACTAAACGTTAGAATATGACCTGTGTATTTTTGCTTTCAGTAGATAAGTACTCCCTTCTTAAGCTCTCTGTGACTTTATACATTTTTATTCGATAAACTCTTTGGGTGAGAAAGGCTCTGAATGTTTCTCAGCCCAGGAGAGTAACCACAATAATGCCCCTGAGTCTACAAGAATGCCTTTATAAAGACCAATTAGATCAAATTCAAGGGAGACTTGGGATAAAAATGCAAAGAAAAACAGTCTCAAAATATCTCAGGAAGTTTCTGAAGGGTTAGGAAGCCAGAAATATTTGGTCCTGCAAACTACAGCACAGGGTGCTGGATTAGGTGGGATCATCAGGTTTTTTTGCTTAATATTTTTGATTAACGAGGTAGGAAGTGCTTCTATGTATATTTAAACAAATATATTTAAACAAAAGCACCCAAAGCTTCCTCAAAAATAGTAGAAAAGTAGTATCTTGGCGTTTATTTTTTAAAGACATCTTTAAAATGATGTCCTGATATTTAATTATCTAGCTAGTTTGGCAATTTCATAATTGTGTCCTCTAAAAAAAGCAATACCCTAGGCTAAATTTCAAAAAGAATCTTTTAGTCAAGAGTATTCACTTCTCTGTAACTTATCTAATTTTAAATACTTTCAGTTTTTACATATACCTTTACCATTCTCATGTAGCAGATTTTTAAAATAAATTTTTAATTTAATACAAGTATTTTTATTTATTCAGCCATAAATGTTTAACTTTCTCAGAGGAGAGTATCTATTACCACAGAATGATGTGATGTGGTTTAAACTTTAAATAAATGCTTATTTCCTGTAAGCATAAAAAATCTTTTAAATGGAAATCTGTATTTTATAGAATGGTAATATATGCCATTCTTTTCAATTTTCACACAGAATTACATACTGTATGCAGTATATTCACTGTGTGTAAAAGATCTAGGTATTCTTCTGTTTCACATTAAAAAAATAATCAAAAACTGAATTGGTTCAAGGCTAAGAAACATAGAAGGCGTTGAAAATACTAATTAGAGCTCTTAACTGAAAGATTAGCAGTAAACAAAGAAATTCCCAGCAGATAAGAAGTGTTGGATTTTGTAGCAATAATTATTTAAAATACAGGGTGAACTTACTGAAGTTAATTATTTTACCCCTTTAAGGTAGTGCTATGTAGGTTCTAGACGCAAAAATAACAATGCAGCAATTTAGCCTAACTAAATCCATTTGCTATAGTAGCTCTGTACTCTTGTCCATCTTTCTGTCTTTATTACATCATTATTGAATGCTGATTGCATTATTTTAGAGCAGGGATTGCTATAATGCTATTCTGCTCTGGTATGATGGATTTAGTTTTCATTTTGTTCTCAAAAATATGTTGACTATAAATACACCTCTCTTCTCCTATGAGGCTCATACTATAACTGTTAAATTTTCTAGAGAAATCAGTCATGTATACCTCAAGAGAAAACAATAAATTCTTTGAAGCAGAATAACCTTTTGGCTGCATTCTTTTAAATAGAGTTTCGTACCAGGGACAAATTTTACAAGCCTTAGCAGTTAAACTTACTCAGTACTCAAAGTTGTCTTTGCCTCCAGTGCCATGATCAGATATTTGTTTGCATTTTGTATGTCATCTTACTAGGCACCTGCCTTTTCCTGTTTTTCTTTTTCCAAAAAAAAATCATAAGCCATGTTTTAAGAAGGCAGCCCTGCTTCAGAAGGCAGTTAACTATGTGTCAAAGTTCTCTAGCTGAACCAAGGCCATCCTGTTGAACTTGTAATTTTACAGCAATTTCAGGGACTGCAGTCTAATACCCCGTAATCAAGAAAACACCAAAACCCAGTCCCATGCTTGAAATCATTGGCCAGAGCTGGGCTGCCCTTACCTGGGTTGCAGTTTCTCATTGTAAATGTGCCAGACAAAGCAGAAGAAAGGATGTGGCTAGAAGTCACAGCCGTCTTCTTAAGACCTGCAGTCTCAATAATGGCAGAAACTGATCAAAATATAAGGCAAATCAAGTAAAGGTTCTTCTTCCCCATTTCTAGATACTCTAGATAGACCTAGATAAAATTAGCAGAGTATTTAATTCGATAGACCTTGGTTAACAGGAGGAGACAGGGTGGCCAGGCTAAACGGGTCTGTCCGTCAGAGCTCTTCAGTGTTCTCCCTAAGAACATCCATTGAGCAGCATGAGAAGGTGTCAAAGAGCTGGGCTGGCTCCCTTTGGTGTTTGTTTTTCTCTCTTGTCTGACAACTTCATCACAATCCATCTTTGTTAGCCAATTGCACTAACTTGAACATGGGTGAGTGTGTATCAGCCTTCATTAGGTCAAATCAAAGACAAGCGTACATCTCTGCCTTGCCTGTAGAAACAGATTTATACTTTGAGAAGGGTGGGGGGAAGGTCAGTTGGTATTTGGCTTGAAATTTGAATCTATTAAAGGATGAAATTAATAGCATCCAGAAGTAGAACATATGGCATCCATATATATGGTACTGTATCTGCTTATGATGTCACACTACCTCTTAAGGTTTGGGAAACACACTTTTTAAAGCATTTAGCTATGTTGTGGGCTAAACCTTTCAGACCTGACTGAGACAGAACAGGTTTAAGTTGGTCTGAACATTTTTTAACCCTGGTATTTGCAGGCCACATAAAAACTCATGGTTTTCATTAGCTTTGCTTTTCACACACAGCCTAATTTCATTTATTCTTATTTTATGCCCCTGCCAGACCACCGCTCTTGATAAGGAGAGGCAGGTTTTCCGACGAAGACGCAACCAGGATGTGAGGGGACGTTACAAGGCACAGCAAGCTCCACCTGAACTCAACTCCGAATCGGAAGACTATTCACCAAGTTCATCCGAGACTGTTCGCTCACCTAACTCACCCTTTTAATAAAACACTTTTACTCAAAAGTCTTGGCTTTAACCCTTTGAGACCCTGAAAATCCTCCAGACCTGTGTGAAGTGATTACAGCTGATCTATCCAGCAGTAAATGCTGGGATGGTGGAACACAAAAGGGTGCTCACAGAATCTTTGTAAGAATAATTTCCTAATTGATTGAAATACTTGTTCTCTGTTTAGATTGCAACTTGCTGCTAATATGATCCTCAAAGGGTTAAGGCTATTTTGCTTTTTTATTTAAAGATAGAAGCAGTGAATGTTTTCATCAGTGAAGCTAGGAACTGCAGTATGTAATTTTAGCACATGTTAACCCTCTGAGTAAATGATCAGCTTAAATCTTGACAACCCACATTAGGGCTTTATTCTGGCTTTTTTGCTTTTATACGCACATATCTTTTATAGTACCCTAAAGTTCTTTGCCTGTTTCTGGCCAAAATAATATCAAACGCACTATTGCTTAGGGGTTACAAATATAGGCTTTAAAAATAAAAATAAAATTAAACAAACAGTATCTTCTACAGCAGCTCGTTCTAAACCTGCATCATACTTCCACAGGGAGTGACTGTTGTTGGAGGATATTATGCAGGCTAAATGGGAAATTCAGTTTAGGGCAGCCTCTTAGTTTACAGAAGATGACATAATGATGGCCACAAAAGGTTGCTTCCGTATCATTTGCTGCTAATAACAATGCAGAGTCTTGGGAAATGGCTTGAGGACAAGTTCTGTCGTGTAATGGTATGTAATGATGTAGTTGAGAAGTTTCTGGTTCCTTTGCCTCACATTCAGAAATGTACAGGCATCCTCTCAGCATGACCTGATTATTCCGGGGGAGTCACTTTTAAAGATTAACATTGATGAGAATTACCCTTAAAATAGCTAGAGTATTTCTAAATCAGAGAAAATACAAGTTATTTAATATATATGTAAAGCCTAAACTGAATTAGCAAAAGTTTTGTCATAGAATGGAGAAACTAAAAATGATTCACCGGTTCTATTTGTAATATTTAATAAAATGGGCATTTACACAGAGTATACATATTTCTGGTTTGTTAAAACCTCAACACAGCATTATAGCATTTTATTTAACCATTATCCTAAAGTTGGCTTCCACAGAAATATTATGCTTTGTAGAATTTTGCTTCAGATGTGATAATTTGAAGGAAAAATTTTTATAAAATCACTTGGAATTTTACTTGAATGAAAAAGGCAACTTCCGAAATCCTATTCTAAAATAAAAAAACAACATTATGAAATTTATACTTTCTCTTATTGCTCATAGAAAATGGAAGTTTTCTCCTCTAAAATTAAAATTTTCTCACAGTGTTTTTAAAAAGTCACATAAATGTGGTTTCCTCTGTCTCCTTGCCCCTTTTCTCTCTTTCTTTCTCCCTTTTTCTTTCATATCATACAGCTAGAAATATTAATATGCTGCCCAAAACGATATGCAGACTTTTCTGATCTTATTGGGAAGTATAAATAATTTTTGGAGGAACAGGGCAAGTTGCCCACAGTGCCATTTCCATTCTGAGTTGTGTTTGCTCATGGAACCGTCCCTATGAGCAGTTGTGGCAGCGGATGTGTACCTGCAGCTTGTTGGAGCTAGTGTAATGCTCTTTTGCATTTCTACTTGGACATATCTGTTGAACCATACTTCAAGAAACGTTGAAATTGTTTTGTTTCTCCATCCTTTAAAATGCATCTTTCATTGTCTCAGTCATGAAAATTTATATATTAAAAGCTCTGAAGATTTCAAATACAGGAATTTCATCTTGTGAGTCTTCACACAAGTGGTACAAGTATTTCATACAGAATGCAGTTAATTTTTCCCAGTGTTAATAATCTAGAAGTGAGACATTTAGTCAAAACTAGATCTCCAGATTTCCTTGGTAATACAGAGAGAGAAGCATTTCCAGGTTTGATTCATCTCACCTGTCATGGGCATGCATTTTAGGCAGGACTCATGCTTTCATTCACCTATTGGTCTCACTCCATTGACTGTAGAAGGAACTGCTGGTGGAAGCTTACATCAGACACAAAACTTGAGATCATGCATTCAGTAGAATGAATCTCTCCCTAAGCCGTCAGGAGACTCTGATCTCTGAATGTATGTCCATAGGCAGAAGGCCTGTGCACAGCCTCAGTTACTCTGGAACCTGAATAGCTCAAGTGAAGCAAATAGTTGTCTTGTTGGAGAAATCCACAGGGGAAAGAGATTAAAGGATAAAGGAACTGCCATACAGAGTTCTCAGATTTTAGGGTTTCAGAAAGGGTTACGTCTGTGGCAGATCCTTGACCCTATGCCCATCCAACCTAGAGTCACTGTGGAGAGCAGACTCTTGGTAGACAGGGCACAGCCACCACCATTGTGATGTTAAAGTCTGTAGCTTGATAACATTTGGACAGGACAGGGATTATTTTTCTATGCGACCAAACCCTCAGCCAAGGTAAATCCCCCCTTGCCACTTACCTACATCAATTTACAGTAGATCAGGGTCTGGCACATGTTTTTCCAGCATTGTCCTTCCCACATCATATCACAGCCTGCCCTTTAGAAGAGATACAACTCAGCCATGTAAATGCAAGACATACATTTGGTAATAAAAATGTCCATTAATACCACATGCTCCTTGACTATTGGGAAAAATTGGCAGTCTTAAAGCAAAGGCTGATGTTCATTCTTCTTAATTAGAGAGGGAATTCAGGAGAAAAAAATTATAAAACTATGCTTCACCTTATGCATGAGAAATATTATTCAGAAACCCACTTGGGATTTTCCTATCACGTTTGCTTTGCTTTGGAATACAAGGTTATCATTAAAATAAGATGTTTGGCTCCTTCATCTTACACCATCTTGTACTACTTAAAATGCATGTAAAAATAATCCTAGATCCTGAAATTCCTACTCATCCCCATCGTCTTATATGTTTCTGATCTTTGGTTCGTGTTTTATGAACATAACTATAAAAATATTTATTTTAAGTTATTTTTAGATCTGTGAGAGATTGGGTTTCAAATTGCTGATAGCCTCTTTTTAGGCTTCAAGGAAAGGTATCTGAATATTTAAATGTTTTTAAAGTGGTTTCCATGACGGTTTTAAATATATCCATATATATGTTTAAATATAACCATATATATGTATATGTATGTGTGGTTTCATGGAAATAATAATGGTTCAGGCTTGTTTGGCAGCAACTGCCCCTTTTCTTGTCTAACCTCTGAATTCCTGGGGGTAAGTGAAGACAGAATACGTAGCCCTAAAAATACTTGAAACGCCAGTGAAAAAAAAAAGAATCAAAGATAACAGACTATTTCTAATGTGATAATCCGGGAGAGCACATAGCACACCGTGGTCATTTTACTGTAATACGTACCAGTCCTCCTGACTTCTTTCTTCATTTCCCTTTTGAATCATTGCATCGTATCGGTGCTAAATGTGACAACAATTTTTTTTAAATGCATTTTACATATACAAAGCCAACTTCCGCCCACCAAGCCTATGTAGTTAGCTGAGACGGATGGCAGTTGGGGTAAGCACCGTCTATCACCAAGGAGATGGAGCGAAGCACTTCGCAAGGGTGATTCAGGTCATCTAATATTTGGTTTCTGGAGATGCCTGTTGGTCTGATCTTAGGATTTACAGAAGAGTAGAACAGGGTCACTTCCAGCTTAATTCCTCTCAAGTAAATGTAAGCGGGGATAACGTGGACTCCAACCTAAGTGCAATATACTAGTGAACTTACGTGCAGTAAGCAAACTTTGATGTGAAAATGTAGTACTGATAGGTGATAGCACAAGATTAGTTAAATGGTACTGAGCTGGGTGTTGTCTCATCTAGATGTATCCATCTAAGAGTTAAACATCTAATCCAGGGCAATCATCTAAACTTCCCTTATAGTTGCTAGAGACTGGCTTCTCTAGTGGATAATTAAAATTCTAGGATGGATGAATCGCTCGCTAGATGAGGTGCCTAGTCCAAATATATTTAGAACATGATGTATTAAGTTATGACATATAAATTAATATTTCTGTAAGTTACAATTTTCATAGCATTAATGTACAAAAAATCCAGAATACTATGGTTCTACTCAGAGGGTTAACAGAAAAGCACTAGGCATGCTGATTACATTGGTGTATCCAAACTGCTTTGCTTTTTTAGCCAGTGTTTGCTGATTTTTTCAGAAAATTCTTGAAAAATTTCAAGTTTGAAATAATTTAAGTGTTGTTGTTTAAGGAATTTCTATAACCAAATTAATCTTATTTTTAGCTTAACTTATCACAGGAATAATATGTATCATTGATGCAGTGTAAGTCTGTAGTTATCAATTTTATTGATTCCACAAGTGATTCCAGAAATCTCTCTTTTTTTAAGTACTTACTATAGAGCTTACAATGGTGGCATAGGTGACTGAGACTGTCTTTCTTATTGGTAAACGAACAATATTGTAATTTCAAGAAAGTCCTAAAAATCAGCTTTTCAGTTTGGTAGTGTACTAGTTAGGGGAAAGCTATCTCATGACATGCATTGTGTAAATCATCTTTGTAGATGAAGATTGTTCATATTAATGAACACATTCTTTTTCCTTGACATTGTAGCAGAAACTGTTTACTTGTTAATGAACAACCAATACATTAATTTGCTTCAGACTGTTAGAGGGGAAAGTGAGATTCCAGTCATTGACAATGTTATTGCTTTACAGTAGCCCTCATCTAACTTAAATGTGGTGCATACTACAATAAGCAAAGCCAAACCTGTGAATAAACTCCTGAAAAAGCCTGGTGGGTCTTTATTCAGTTGGGTGCTCGCATACAGTAGCATGTGGCAGCAGGAAGGCTTTCAAGAATTGTCGAAATGAAAGCGATATATCCACAAATAAGAGCTAAATTGCAATCCTTTCCCTATGGGGCATATATGTTTAAAAAGAAAAAAAAAGAAAAGAAAAATTGGCTCAGAGGTTTGCAGTGCTACTATATTACCACAGGGCAGGTACATTAAATCATTGTTATTTGCTAGCCTGGGGTATATGTTAGAAAATGGCATCTTTTTTATTTAGTTTAGATTGTGGGCAGGGAGAGCTTTCCTAATATTATTGCAGTGCCTGCTAGTGCTGCCATGGTTAAGCTGTGTTAATATTTCCATTATAAGCTCTTAGTCTCAAAGGTTTTTAATTTGATCGTAAAAATTTGCTTCAGGCAGAAACTTGGCATACAATTTTTCAGCTCAGAGTGATTCTTTTCCTAAAATATGAGGGAAATCAGCTTGACCTCTTCGACATTTATTTTCTAAGTGTACACAAACATTCACACACACACAAATGGGAGCGGCTTCAACAAAGGCCATTTTATGCAGTTCATTTCAGATGTGTTACATTTTCAGGCATATCTCGCAGGTCTTAACTACAAAGGTGACAGCTCAGAACTTTTGGGAATTTTGAAAACCAGGGAGAAAACTCGGAGAAAACTCAGAGAAAACTTGATCAAGAGCAAAAACGTTCCACATGTGGGAGAG